AACATTGACTCATTAAACATAATCGTCACTCATTACCTGTTATCACAATAATGATCTCCTTCTAACTAACTCTCAATCAGTATAATATGAATCAATATATGATAATACTAAATCACAGTATTTAAATGAAAGCTCATCGACCCATTATCCTATGTAGATCAATCAGACTTCATTTAACGTAAGTGAATAACCAATCTTTACTATGTTACAATTAAAATGTCTAGGATAATCAATGTAACATCTATCCAACAAAATTCCTTACCAGTAACACATAGTTCATAGAGATAAACATAATATTCATAGTTTTTAACATCTAATATTTTTCATCATTTGAATACTTGTATGTAATCCATCCACTAAACAATACATTTTCTAAATAAATAGAAGTATCTATATAGTCCTAATTTCATTGCACAAGTAATTATAGAGCCTCTAAGAAAATTAAAATACATCACCACAATTTAATAGTTTAAATATCTCACATGAAGACTCACAAATATTGCTAAAAAAATTTTTAAATATTCAATAACCTTTTTAATATACTACAACTTTTTTCTTATTTTTCCCTATAACAAGAGTCAGTATACAAGCTAATAAGCTATGAAGCTCATAAATTTATACAATTTAAATAAAAAAATTAAATACAACATTATAAATAATAACATAATTGAAATCATAATTGTATCAACTTATAAATATTTACAAATAAAATCATATTTATGATCATTTTTTTTATTTGAAGCCTGTAATGAATATTACAATTAATTTTTTAAGGTTCTAGCTATCATTTTTTTATATATTTAACTTTCATATGAATGTTCAATGGAGCACAGATAAATCTGACATTAATTATTGCTATTTAACTACATAAAGTATAATCTTCTTAAGAACTTTTACCAATATTTGAAACTTACAATACACAACTATAACGTAATAAAAATGCTTACCTTGGTTCCTTATTCCTTCAATTTCTCTATTTCCCTTCTTCTCTCTTCCTTTGCTATTTACTCCACAGAATAGTCCTTTTACTCACTACAAAACTGACTTCAATTACTCCACAGAATAGTCCTTTTACTCCCACAGAACTCGTAAGCACTAAGCAACCTTTTCTCCTTGCTCCTGCTTGTGTGAAAATCAATTGATGTGAATAAATAAAGTCCCACACGTATAACTACAATCACAAGGTCACATCCTTTGCAAGCACCTATTCAGGAATACAAAAGAGTAGCTTATTTTCAGAAGGATAATGTAAATTTAACTGCTTTTACATATTTACTTCACACTTTAATTAATTAACATTCGTTTACTGCTACTTAGTACTTAATTTAAATTAATGTTGTGTTAATATTTAAGTACTGCTTTATAGTAAGTTATTAATTAATAATTTTCTAATTAATGATAATTTAATGATTATAGTAATTAGCTGTTAACAGTAATTAATAGTAATTAAACCTTATACTTTCATATAAATTTTCAAGTTACTTTAACTAATTCAAATTTATATTTTTACTTGAAACTTTTGAGTATTACAAATGTTTCCTCATTAGAATTTCACCACTGAAATTCATCTTATCACTTGTTGCGTCCTGGAGTATTCACGGCGGTAGAAAAATATAAAGTTTAGTGTCTTAGCATTGTACGAAAATCCGGCACGCAATCAGATAAGAGAGAGCTAGGTTCTAGCATTTATGAGACATCAAGATTTTTACGTGAAAAATCCCTGAAAAAGGGGAATTGAAAAACCATGGGGCCTAGCCCAATTTGAATGAATCCACTAATATTATAGTTAATTACAAATGACGCACTTCCTTGGGGGAATGCCTTAATTTGATGTACATCTTATAGAGTACATTACATGATGTGAATACAAAGAGTCACTATTGACGTGTTCGTTTAGTCGGGAGAACTGTTTGTCGGTGGACGATGTAAATCGAAAGCACCGTAGTCGGCGGGCGACGGAGGTCGGAAGAACAGTAGTCGATGGGCGACGTAAGTCAGCAGGATCGCAGTCGGCGGGCGACAGAGGTCAGAAGAACTGTAGTCAGTGGGCGACGTGAGTCAGCAGAACCATAGTCGGGGGGCGACATAGGTCAGAAGGACCGTAATCAGCGGGAGATGGAGGTCGAAAGGACTGTATTCAATAGGCGACGTAAGTCAATAGGACCATAATCGGTAGGTAATAGAGGTCAAAAGGACTGTAGTTGGCGCGCGACGGAGGTCAGCAAGACTGTAGTCGGCGTGCGATAGAGGTTGGAAGGACTGTGTCAGGTAGAAGTCCAACAATGGATAGAAATCCAGCATCAGATAAATGTTCGGTGAAAATCTAACGATGGACAGAAGTCCAACGTCGGATATAAATATGGCGATGAGCGGAGGCCCGACGTCTGGTATAAGTCTGACGTCAGTCGGAGGCCGGGGAGAACTCCGACATTATGGTATTCGGGCAAAACTACATATATAGTCACTTGGAGATCAGGCGGAATTCAGGCGTTAGTCGTAAGTCAGGGCGGAATTTCGGCGTCATTTGGACAGAATTTCGGCGACGATGGTCGAGGAGTTCTTCCCTCCTATACTTCTTATCTTCTCTTCTCCTTCTTATCTTGCCTGGGGCTCTCCTTGCTTTCGCCTCCCTCTTCAAGAGAAATGAGAGGTCTATTTATAGATTTCTAGAGTGGCATGGCCTGTAAATAGGTGAGATTTCAGGGGCGAATCAGGAGTAGTTTGAATGGACGGCCGATATTAAATCCTTTGATTGTGGACCATTTGTCAGACATTTAAAGGTCTAAATGATGTCGGAATTCGATGATCTTAGGCTCATTGAATTTGTCTCGTCGAGCCGCTCGATTTGATCATAAGCACGTCACGTTTGGTAATCCAAATTGTGGTTCGAACCTTCCAATAGTGCTTATGGTCCTTGATTTGGACTCATTTGGCCTCGAATTGAGTTTAATTTGGTGTCGTTGAGTTCGTATTTCCGAGATGCTCAGTTCGACTATAAGTTTGTTGAAATCGGAGTTCAGGTGATCCCGAATTTAATTTTTGAAGTTTCCAACTTGATTTTTGCCTCGAGATTCGTGCTCGATCAATATACTTTTTTGATGATGTATTAGTTGCCCACCTATTTTTGAACGTCGAAGCTCCAGAAGTCCGAAAATATATGTGTCAATATTTCACATTAGCCGAACCGCAAAAAATTACATTCCAAAAATTAAAATCTTGCTCAAATTTGATCGTAGAGGCCTCATTGAGCTCCGAAAGTATCAAAATCGAGTCTGAAATATCAAAAAAACATGTCCATGGACCCCATAAATGTTTGATTTGAACCGTCTGGGCCGAAAATTGCTGCCCACGAAACAGCGCGTCCCGCGCGGTCCTTCTCCTATTCTCTATATAGCTTTCTGATAGTTGAGGCTTTCCGTTGTTTTTTAGTATGTGACTTTCCCTACTTGACTCAGCGCCCCTCCTCTTGTACAGAAATTAGAAATTGTTAACTTATGTAGAAGAAGTCGAAAGAATCTACCAAGGATATAAGACCTATCCGAGGTTGTATGTCGAAGTCTTTGCTCGACGACGTTGACCTGTGTGAAAGAGGTCAAATCGAATCCCCATAGGATCGATTTTGCCTTGATTGGGAGGGGGCGAACGCCACGTGTATCCCGAATCAAATGAGAAGAATGGTCTATCTTTAGACCGTTACTGTCTTTTTGAGGCCAAGATTTAGATAATGCCAAAGGAAAATGGACGAGTCCAACTCAAGTAAAAATGGACGAGTCCAGCTTAAGCTGGTTCTATGGGCTCAACTCGAGCTCGAGCTGCTCTTTAGAGGGACGAGTCAAGCTCAAATTTTGTTACAACTCGATTCGACTCGTTTACACCCCTAACGAGGAAGACTATCTACCTTAAATTAAATATTCTATTCTTAAGGCCTCTTTAGTTTTTTGTTCTAAATATATTTTAAAAATAATTACTCATTTAATAAATAAAATCAACATCACTATATTTGTATAAGTTTTGAGATAAAGAATAATTACATATATTATAAGAGGAATATTGATAAAATATTACTACTAGAATATGATATTTTAGTGTTTATAAACAATAAAGCACTTCCCACTACAATAATATGTCATTTTTTTTTCATATTTGGTAATGATCATAGGCACCATTCAAATAATTATTCCAACTTTTTAGAATATGAAAGTAAACATTATTTATATTGTATATTTTATAATAAAATATCTAAAAAAAACCATCAATATTGGTTTCATGCCCGAGTGAAAAAAATTAAGAATTCTTTTAAAATCACAAATTGTGTTCTACTAATTTTTTTTACTCTGTCTATATTGTTGAATATAGGTATCGATGAATTAATGATAAGTCGAGGAGAAGAAATTATTGTGTGTGATTATCGGATATCGTCCTAAGGTGAATCAAGATGCGTCATATCATCATTTTGTTATTTATTGTTGCGTCCAGGAGTATTCGCGGCGGTGGAGAAATATAAAGTTTATCGTCTTAGTGTTGTACGAAAATCTGGCACGCAATCAGATAAGGAGAGAGTGTCTAGCATTTATGAGACACCAAGATTTTTAATTCACCTCCGAATGATCTGGTGACCGCACATGTGGAAGAGAGGAAATATTTAAAATGAAAGTTTGGACTATTTTTCAAAATATATAAAATAAGAAGATATTTAGCTAATTATATGTAAATGAGGCATAAACTAAAATTTCATATGCCTCAGCACAAAGCATCAAGCCACCTACACACACGAAAAATATAACCATATACGCTTGCCACGTGTAACCGTTTGGACCCCGTAGTCCAGTTGGCCGGAACACGGAGCCGCGGGTTGCGGCGGTCCAATCTGTTCCCCTCCAGACTCAACTAATTTTAGGTTACTACCGCATAGAAATTTCTATGTCTCTGCACTCTCTGCCGTCCATGTGTTCTATACAAGATCTTGGCCGTTAGTCTTGCCATCCAACCAGAGCGTCGTGTGCGAGCGAGCAACATCATAGTTTTGTCCGCCCTCTCCATTAATGAAAATTTGTAAAGGTCCATTTAATCGAACGAAGTTTCTCTTTCTCGTCTCCAAACCCTACTGTGGAATAAGATTTATCCAGTTCATTCCTCTGATTTGCAAGTAGTGAATTCGCGGGTGAAGTCGGTGTGCTGATTCGAAGGTATGCCTCTGTACAGTTTATCAAGTTTTGCTGCAGCTATAATTTATTGCGTCTCCTTTGATCCGGCTGCAAATGGTGGCTAAGATGCGCAGATAGGACCTAATTGACTATTTTCCTTCGGACTGTTGTAGATGAGCTGTGTCTTCTTCTCGCAGCGTTTGTATTTTTTTTAGCTGTCTTGGTTCCTTTGAATTTGCTCGTTCTAGATGGCAGTTTTTAATTTTTTATTGTTTCTGTGAAGTGCGAGCAATGAAAATGCAAATGTTGTTTGAGCTGTTGTTTAGCGATCTGAATTTATATTTTGCCATGAAACTGAGCAGCAGCAGTGATTTATATTGCAAGATTAACTTGCGCATTTGTTTGTTAACTTTCATTTTTAATTGCAGCAGTATGAATTGTTCTGTTTTTCATTCTCTCCTATCACGAATCGGTTCTGAATCTCTGAGTATAACGGTGATGGGATTGTCAAAGCCACTCCCCGATCTATCATTTCCATTGCTGTGAGAAGAACAATACTACAATTACATACATAATTGGCTTGTAATGAAAGCTTCTAAATCCAAAATACAACTAATAACTTAGAACTGTACTTAAACTTAACCATTCCTTTCTTATTGCTCTTAGCCTTCAATGGCCTCATCAAGCTCAACTTGCATAAAAAATATTGACATACATCTGGGTGAGTAATGTGAAGAACTTATTGGGTGAACAAATGTACAAGAGTAAAGTAATTCAGAGAAAAGGAAGCAATATGCATGTTAGTTATTATCTATGAAATGTATACTAATCATAGTATTTGGCTTCTCATATCATTAACATTTATATTAGTTTTGGACCATAAGATGAAGGGACAAAAAAAAAAAAAGTAAAACATTGTTCTAGGATTAGATGAAGACATTTAAAAAATATTAACAAAAATTATTTTGAGAGTAAGATTCTAGATTATAAGATTTTGTCTATGCATGATAAAGCTAATGTTATGTGGGAAAAAGTAGCTAGTAATATAAAGAATGTTGCAAAAGATGTGCTTGAAGTATTAATGAAAAAAACTCCTAGTAGTAAAAATAGTTGGTGGTGGAATCAAAATGTGGAAGAAAAAAAATTGTTATAAAGATTGATTTAGATGTAAAAGTTTTGATAATTGGGAAAGATATTAAGAGGCCCGTAAGGAGTCTAAGACAGTAATATGCGATGCAAAGAATTTAGCTTTTAATGATTTATATAATTGATCAGATACTAAGGAGCACAAAAGATATATGTATAAGTTAGCCAAACAAAAAGATATGAGTAGTAAGGATTTAATTCAAGTGAAGTGTAGTAAGGATGAAGATCAAGAGTGCTTTTATTAGAAGAGGATATTCAAAGGTGGATGATATGTTTTGCTAAACTTTTCAATTATGATTGTGAAAATGCGATTGACTTTAGTTACCTTAGCATCCTAAATGAAAATAAAGATTTTTTTTATCGGTGTATTAGCAAAATCGAAGGTAGAGAGACTTTAAAGAAAATGAAATGTGGAAAAGCTGTTGGACATGATAATATTCCAATAGAGGTGTGCAAATGCTTAGGAGATGAAGGAATTTCTGGGCTTACTAAACTTTTTAATATTATTTTGAAGACTTAAAAAATGACAGATGATTGAAGAATGAGTGTGTTGATTTCTATTTTTAAGAATAAATGTGATACACAAGATTGTACGAATTATAGAGGAATTAAGTTAATGTATCATACTTCAAAACAATAGGAGAGAGTTATGGAGAATAGGTTGCAGCATGATACTAATGTTTCTCAAAATCAATTTGGATTATGTCGGGTAGGTCTACTATGGAAGCTATACATTTATTGAGATGTTTGATGGAGAAGTATAGGGAGAATAAGGAGGTCAACATATGATATTTATTGATTTAGAGAAAACGTATGATAAAGTTATTAGAGAAGTGCTATGGAGAGTTCTTGAAAGAAAGGGGTTAATAATGCTTATATTCAAGTCATTAAGGATATTTATGTAGGAGGTGTTACTTGTGTTCAAACACTAGATGGTTTGACCAAGTATTTTCCTATTTCAGTTGGATTACATCAAAGATCAGCCTTAAGCCCATATCTTTTTGCTTTAGTCATGGATGTTCTCACATGATAGTTTACATTTTAGATATCTTGGGTCGATTGTTCAGAGTGATGGTGAAATGGATGGGGATATTATTAGTAGAATTCAAGTTGGATGGTTGAAGTGGAGGAATGCATCGGGCTTGTTGTGTGCTAGAAAAACCCCTCTCAAACTTAAGAGAAAATTCTATAAGATAGCAGTGAGACCTACAATGCTTTATGGTGCAGATTGTTGGCCATTAAAAGAGAAACATATATTAAGTTAAGTGTTGTAGAGATGAGGATGCTCAGATGGATGAGTGACTTTACTCTTAGAGACAGAATACGAAATGAGCATATATGTGAAAAGGTTGGAGTAGTTCCAGGGGAAGGTAAGATTATATAGAGTCGCCTTATATGGTTTGGTCACAAAAAACGGCGACCTTTCGATTTGACTTAAGTTAAGAAAGGGAGATGTAGATCTAAAAAAACTTGGTTAGAAAATATTAGAAATGACATTTATTTGTTAGATTTAAATGAGAATTTGATTCTTAACAAGGCATAATGGAGAAAGATATGGGCTTAAGGCTAATCTAGTGATAACATCCACGATATGAATACAACCTCTTGCAACTGTCTAGTGATAACATCCATGACTAAAGCAAAAAGATGTGGGCTTAAGACTGATCCTTGATGTAATCCAACTGAAATAGGAAAATACTTGGTCAAATCACCTTGTGTTTGAACACAATTAACCACACCTGCATATATTTCGTTAATGACTTGAATATAAACATTATTAACCACTTTTTTATGTAGAACTCTCCATAGCATGTCTCTTGGAATTTTATCATATATTTTCACTAAATCAATAAAAATCATATGTAGATCCTCATTTATTTATTTTTATTTTTTTTATTTGTATATCCTCCTTATTCTCTCTATACTTATCCATCAAACCTCTCAATAAATGTATAGCTTCCATAGTAGACCTACTGATGGGGACATCGGAGCATGAAAAGTTTATCAGAGGCGTGGTCGCATATCTACTGCTATGATCTTGCCGATATATTTTTAAGTTCTCAAATGTACTTGTTTTTATTTATTTGTTTTTGTATTTCTCTTTCTGCCCCTTACTTAAAGATGGTCATGTGTAAGCCCAAAGGGCTAAGTCGTCTTTTTATTTTTCCGTCAATTGTATGAGGCTATATATAACCCTTATGTTTTCTTTTGAAGGTTAATGAATGAATGATAATTTTTTTTTGCATATTGAGTTCTTGTGAGAGCTTGAGAGGGTTTGGAGAGAAATCTCTTGGAAAGGGAAGCAAATCACCCACCAACCTTGGAAGAATCCAGGTTCGTGGCTAGTTTCTTCGTAATTTTTTTTATTTCTTTCTCCCTCCCTTCCCTTCCATCTCTCGGTCCACCTACAACCCTAAACCGCCGGCCACCCCTTTAATCCTCCCACCTCCGGCCTACCACAAGCCCACCTCCACCTTGGTTTTGGGCTAGCACCCTAGCTCTCCACCTCACCCGATCCCCATTTCCCTTCACCCAAAACCGGCGGCCAACCCACATAAGCCGTAGGCCCCGCCCCCCGCGCGGGAATTCCCCCATCAAGGCTTGTATTCAATCCTTTCCAATTTGGGATAGGAAACTTATCTAATTCATATTCAAATTTAATTTGAATTTGAATTGTTTCCTAAATTACGAAATTTTATTTTTAGAAAGTTTCTAAAATTAAATCTTATTTGAATTTAAATTCAATTGGATTTAATTACACCTTTCCAAATATCCAAGTCTAAAACAAGCAACCTTAAAAGCCTCTCCCTAAATCCCTCTTCCCTATAGAAATCGCCGGCCCCCCTCTTTCTATGCCGCCTGCCCTCCCTAATTCCCCAATTGATTTCTTTCCAAATTGTTGACTCCTCTCTTTTGGAAGATTTCAAAACCCGTCCCTCTCCGACCCGTCCCTCTCTCTCACCCCTTTCCCCTTTTAATTCTTTCCAAGTTCAATAATTAATTAGGGGAAATACATTCCCTAATTTCCCTCCATCATACCTCCCAAAATCTGAACCTCTTTCCTCCCTAGGCCCCCATCTTTGGCCGGCCACCTCTCTCCCTCTTCTCCACTTGAATCCTTGAGAGAAACTTCTTTCTTTCAAGAGGAATCCTTAAGGGAAGCAAAGATCTTCACCGCCAACACTTCACCCTAACAAAATCGATGAATGTCCGATCCCAATCTTGACTCCGGCTTCGTCTACAACGATCAAGGAAACGTTGACATCCTCCGTTCAACATTCTTCGACGTCAACCTGGAAATAGACAATTCCGTCGAAGAATACCTGGATTGCATCATCTTCACCTTGTCCGAAGCAATCGAAGAGCAGCTTGCAAACATTCAGTGGAAAATCACTTTCGCTCCACGACGAGGGTGAACTTTTTCCCCTATTCAAATTTTCTTCTAATCCTCTGCTCCTGTAGGTTGTGATTCAAGCACAAGGAGTCGTGCCAAAGCTCTCTGCCTTCGCTTAGTAACTATAGGATTTGAGTTTTGATTTTCTATGCTTTCTAACTCATTGTTAACCTAGGGATTCTATTGAACATCTACTTAATTTGCATCAGTTGAAAATTCTAATTACTTTTGTGATTCTTGCTCTTAGCATGTGATTTGGCCTAAGCGAAACCTCCCCTCTTTTGTTTTCTATTGTCGTTTAGTGGCGAACGTTCGTAATTATTAATTGCTCTTATTCAAAATGTTCAAGTTCTTATCGCATTCATTTAAATCCTTCTTAGTTTTGCATCACCTACCTAGCATGAATCCAAATTGATTTTGAGAAACATTAGTGTCACATTGCAACCTATGCTCCATAACTCTCTCCATAGTACTATTTCATTGACTAATAATAATTGTTTTACTTAAAAAAAATCTTAGAGATTTAATGCATTATTAGATTTTAGAATGCTTATGGATTATTTAAATCATTACATAATTATTTTTTTGTAAAAAATCATCTTATATGAATCCTCTAGGAAACATAATACCTTTCAAAAGTTCATTATTTTTACATCAAGTAATTAATTATTCTTTTGAATGATACAATTTACACCTTTTCTTACAATTAAACTAGGCGATTCCATTAAATCCTTGTCGTCCTTTAATGATTTTTATTTAATTGTTGATTTTTTTAATGACTTTCTGGTCTTTACATTTCTTGTCATCTTATTGATAGAGGATTGAATTATGGCTACATGCTAAAATAAAGTTTAGTATAGCAATGCCTGTAAAAGAATAGCTTTCATTGGATTGGGAGTAACTTATTCTTCTCCATCTCAATTCCTCTCAATGTGGTACTTGACATCAGTAATGAATGCCTTTTCTCCCACTTCTCACTTAATCAGCTTCAGCTCCTGCCATTATCTTTCACTTGCTGATGATATTTGACATAAAACATGCCTTTTGCTATTTTTGAACAATTTTTAGTTTTCTTTATCAATTCATGCATTTCCGTTCACAATTTGTCAATTTCTTGTGTATTTTGTAGGGAAGTGCAGTTGAGCTGCAGTATAACAAAAGACTACTGAAAAATTGCTGTTACTTCTGATATCGGGGTATTTAGGATGAATTCTTTATCCTTGTCCACATCATTTACTGGAGAGGGTTGCAGCTTTGTGTCTGGTTCGTACATTCATGTTAGAAAAGATATTTTCGGAGTTGAGCTGTACCTAAATCCATCAAATGGAGTAAATGGAGCTTGGTTGAGGCATCTCCCACAATCACGCTACAAAAGCAGGTGCAAATTCAGCGTTAGTGCTAAGGTTAAAAAGGGACAGAAGCACGATTATCCATGGCCAGATGATATTGATCCAAATCTAGAAAGTGGACACTTGAGATATTTGTCTCATTTTAAACCTCTATTAGAGAAGCCTAAGCCGGTTACACTTGAATTTGAGAAGCCGTTGGTTGAGCTGGAAAAGAAAATAACTGACGTGAGTTCCTTGTTACATAAAGCTCTAAATACGTGCTTGTACCCTATCTGTGTTTTTGTAGAAAAATGTTTTTAAACGCAAATCTGTCTTATATTCAATAAATCTGCTGGCATATTATGACGATTTAATTAGCCTAGGAAATAGCATTTATATTTGTAAATAAAGGTACCAAATGCTCTTACAGTGTCTGCCATGCCATTTATTTTTTTTATATGCCTTTACAAGCATACATCCCTCTAGAATAATATGCTTCTCCAAACATTTTTGTTAGTCATCACTGATTTTTGTTGTTCATTCTTTCCTCGTTATTTTAGGTGCGCAGAATGGCAGATGATACTGGGCTGGATTTCAGCGATCAAATTAATTTACTGGAAAGGAAGTACCAAGAGGTTAGCTTCATGAATGCTATTTCTGTATTTTTCACATTCCTGGATATAGGAAAATAAAAGAGATATTCATTTAAATATCATTGGAGTAGTTGCTGTTATGACCCATGAAATTCAAAAATGTTTCTCGTTTGCAGTACTGATATATTTCTTGGAGTTGAATGAAGGTTAACATGGGAACTTCACTAGCAGCATTTTTAAAGTTGTGCCCTAAAAAAAAAATCTTTTTACAAAGTATTACACTATTACGTGACAATAGTCGACATTGTTGTGTATATTTGATGAAATTAAGGTGGAGACAAATGTCACGCCACACTTTGACCTCCTTTTAGTCAACCATGAGGCGTAACAGAAGCAGACAATCTATTAAACATATTTCACACTAATACCCATTTTGACTTTTACCAATCAGGATTGAGTAAGTGAAAATTAGTTTGGCTCGATCGGCACAAAATCTACATTACACCTCTTAATCTTCTAGTAGATATAGCATAAACATTGATATGTAAGCTTGCATAATTTAAATCTTTAATATAAACTGCATAACTACTAATTTTATAGGAAATTTTTATATACTAGAAGCTTTTAATTTATATTATGTGCATTCTTTTCTATATTACATCGAAAACCGGACATTCATCCATAATACTAAAAGATATATGATAAGTTGGGTCACTTTATATGGTCTCACCTGCCCCTTTTCCTTTTCTAAAAAATGATCATCCTAATATCTAATGAGCTAAATGCTGAATGGGAAAAAACAAATCCAATATAAGGTTCAAACATATAAGAAGGATTTTTTAAGAATGTTGATATTTTGAACTAACATGAGCATTTTTTATTATAGATATAGCTGGCTTATTGTAGTGATATACTTTAAAGAAAAAAAATTGTTTTGTTATTTAAATAAAAGAAAGATTTAATTTTAAATAAGGAGCATGAGTTTTTGAAAGAAAATGAAATACATCTATCAAGTGTTAAATTTTGAAATATATTCTACTTATTAATTACTTGCACTACTTTCACCACTTTAATTTTCTTTTTCATTATTACTCATTAATTTTTTTAGAAATATTATGTAATGCAAATAGGCTTTTAGTGCATTTATATTATTGGTTCTCACCTAACCCGTTGGCCCTAAAAATCATTGACAAAGTTTGGACAATTGGACATGACAATTATTAATGGCCCTTCGATCTCAAGGTTGAACTTATTGTATCAACTTTCTAGTATGAGATTTAGGAACTTTTTTATTTCTTATTGAGGCTCATCTTGTCAAAACCTTTATCTCTCTCAGCGCAAGTTATCATAGTTTGCCAACCTATCTCATATGATATGGCCTTTTATTTGCTTCTTTCAATTTAAAATCTTTTCATCATCATTTAAAATTGTTTAACATTGATATTCACCTCTTATCAATTAATCTCTTTAACATGCATCAAAGATGAATATGGTATGTAAAAACCAATCTCTATGTACTTAAATAAATATTATGTTCTATCAAATAATCGTATGAATTGAACTAATTAAAAAATATTTCAAAGTCATTTAAACTAGTGATTCTATAAAAATGTATTAGATTTGTAAATATCAGCATACCATGCTTAGTATCAATAAATATCTATTTGCATGCTTGTAATGGGCACTGTAATTGCCCTGACATTGGTAGCAGGAATTTATAAACCACCAAATGGTGGCTACAGAGTCTTCGGTGTTGATGATAAAATTAATCAATTAAATGTTGGCTTCTCGTCCCAATTGGATAGACTGGATAGTGAATGTGGCGTTTTAAAGTTCCATTTAACACGGGTGAAATATGAGGATTAATAATCATAATTTGATGTATCACCCACGTGTTCAAAATGTAGAGGCACAACTGAATAAACTAATAGAAGTGAATGAGCAGGCTCTGTATTATTGCAAGATCGTACTTAAAGAATTTTAGTGAGTTCATTAAATATTTAATTTTTTATGTAATTTAATATTTTTCTAATATTATACTTTTGCTGTTACTATAGCTTATATTTGACTAGCCAAAGATGGAAATATAAATCTTTCCTTGTGGAGTCGACAAAAAATTATATCTCGGCCTCATGCTGGGAGAGTTTTAAGGATATTGTTGTTTAAATTTTTAGCATATAATTAAAATTTAAGATAAGACACTCTCCAGATATTCCACCATCATTTTGCGAGGAGTTTATAAAATGGTTTCAGGTTTCTCATAGACGCAAGTGATAAGAGAAAAATAACTAAGTCGAAATTGCAGCTATTATGATTAGCTTTATTTCATATGTTTTTGTGTAGGAAATAGGTTAAAAATCATGAAAATAGAACCAGTGCTACAAATTCAGCATCTCAGCAGAGGTTTCAAAAAAAAAAAAAAAAGCTAGTGAGCTTAGTGCCGTGGTGTTATACAGGAAGCGCCGCAATGCTAGATTGAGCGCTGCCAAATCACCCAACGTTACAGCTAGAAATAGTTGCATCAGTGAATAAATGCGAAAGATGGTGAACCGACGCGTTGGTCCATCAAGTCAGCGCCACAACGCTAGTTCATCTATCTTGCAAGGTTATAAATAGTAGCCTTATTATTCATGTGGAAGGGTTGTCAACTTGGAGAGACGTGCGTGCGTGCGTGCCTGTGAATGAGTGTGAGAGACTATTTTTGGTGGGGAATTAGCTATTTTGTACATGTGAGTAATTTTATTAAGCAATATTAAAGTGAATTTAAGAATTTCACTCCTTATGGGAACGATTCTTCTCTCATCACTTTATTTCTCGGCACAATATGTATACTTATGTAGAACATGAGTAACACCGTAGAATTGAGCAAATCATATTTAAAAAGCAAAAGTGGTCTGTTGAAAGTGCTTGTTAGCAAACCCTTATAGTTACTTACCCATTCTTACAATGAGAGAGAACTTTCATTTAATGCTATTCCTACGCTTAGTATCAAACGTATAGTAGCAGTAAATTTGAAATAGAGTGAATTTTCTCATTTTGCACTTAAAACTGATGGTGGGGGAATGATAACTAACTTGATCACGATACTATAATTTTGTTGTCACGATTGTCATGGTTGAAATGGAGGAATGCATTGGGCTTGTTATGTGATAGAAAAGTCCCCTTCAAACTTAAGGAAAAATTCTATAAGATTGATGAGGACATCAGAAGATCCATGATCTACGGCCACGATCTACTTTTGATTATTATTGTATTTGATATATTTTATTTTATGTTTTATGAGTCTTTTGTATTTCTTTCCATTTATGCCTTTGCTTAAGGGCCTCGTCATGTGTTTGCCGGAAGGGCAATTGTGTCTTTTTATTTTTATTCATGTATTTGGCTATTTAAGCCTTCTCCCTCCTCTTGGAGAGGGGATGATGAATTATTGATAATGAAATTTTATGTTCTTGTGATCTCTTAGTGAGTTCATGTTGATCTCTTAGTGAGTTTATGAGAGGAGCCCGAGGAGGGTGATTTGCAATACCCGTCAATCTTGGTGGATTCCAAGGTTCGCGGTTCTCTTATCTTTCTTTTCTTTTATTTTTCCTTGCATCGAATTCCCTCCCAACTCCCCACCCGCCGGCCTCATTACCCACAAAGTTTTCTTGGTAATTTTTCCCTAACCCGAGTCCTTCCCTTGCCGCCAGCCTCCTTGGAACGCCCAAGCCGCCGACTTCCTCCAATCCACCCGCCGGCCAACCACCTGGCCGCCGGCCTCCAGCCAGCCACCCGTCCGGCCACCATCTCCCCTGCTCAATCCGCCGCCCCCCCTTCACCCAACACATATGTTTGAAATTCAAATTTCAAAAGGTCATTAATTGCTTCCATAAAATAAGGCCAAGTAATTAAGAGAGCTATTAATTGAATTTCAAATTCAAATTTGAAATTCAAAAGCTTTCCAAATACTAGCACTTAAATTAGGAAACCCCTCTTTGAAATAAAATCTGAATTTTAATTCAGATTTTCTTTAATGCTTTGAATAATGTGTGGGCCCCACTTAATCAACCATAATTCCCCTCCCCTCTCTCTATTTGGCTGGCCCCATTCATTGGACTTATCTCTCTCCTATTGCATTTATTGCTCCTCAATTACTCTCCCCCTTTCTCTCTCCAATCACATTAATTGGACTCCAATTAAGGATCTAATTAATTAAATCTCCTGGCCTAATTCCCTCCCAATTTCATTTAATTTCAAATTTGAAATTTGAAATTCCCCTAACCCTACATTAATTAAAATCTGAAGTAATTTTCAGATTTTATAATTTCTCCCTCTCCCCTTTCCTTTTATTTCTTACCTTAATTAAGAAATCAATTAGGTAGGAATTAATCTCTTCCCCCCCTCCTGGCCCGTAACATGTTTCCTTAGATTCCTGAGTATTCCACTTGGCTGTCTTGAAATTCCAGCAAAGGAAACTCCACAGTTTTGCTGCTACAAACATCAATTTGCTGTCCAAAGGATTCTCAAGGGATGGTACATACGTTTCCTGCATTTCCACCTACTGTCCAGCTGATTGGACAAATCCAGGTTGCTGTCCTCTGTCTAGGAGCGCTCAAATCAGCCATGAAGCAGTCCTGAGAGACCTCCTAACTGCTGACTTGTTGCGTGGAGAACCATTGGATGCTGTCACCAGTCCAGGAAAGCCAAAACCAGCAAGGAAGGGGTCCAAGAAGGCCTCCCAACTGCTGTCCAGGACTTTCCCAAGTCCTCCAAGTGGTTGTCCCAAGTTTTCTACAAGACAAAATTGCTGTTCTTGCTGTCAAAACTGCTATCCAGAGAGTTCGGCATCACTTCCTGCTGTCCTGGAAATTTCCTACAGCCACCAACTGCTGTCCACGCTTGTGGGGAAGGTTAATCTCGGCGAAGTGCGAGGAGGTTCGTGGTTGCTGCCCACTTCATTCCCAACTACCACACAACTTTGCCGGAGCACGTATCTCTCGTCTTTGGGTAAATTTGACACCCGACTCTTTATCTTCATAGTTGCATCCTTGAATGTGAATTTATTATCTTCATGAAGATCATATTATGCTAAAACCTAGTAATTGGATGAGTTGTGTGAGGGATCTTCTCATAGCAACTAATCTTATTGTTAGTATTTGAATCTATTGTTGGAACTATCCATGTATGCAATGTTGGATTAAGCTGGCTATCTTTTGAACTTAACTTCTATGCATGTGAATTAACCTAAGCTAAGTACCACTTAATATTTATCTTATCGTTCAATTCCGCATAAGATCTTACTTATTATTGCCTCTAAATCTAAGCGTGCAAACTTCTTTAAGCAAATCACTTTCGCATGGATATGTTTCACATCAAAGATGGTGATGAAACTTGCAATGCTTTATGGTGCAGAATATTGGCCATTAAAAGAGAAGCATAATATTAAATTATGTGTTGCAGAGATGAGGATGCTCAGGTGGTTGAGTGGCTTTCTCGTAGAGACATGATACAAAATGTGCATAACTGCATATACATGAAAAGGTTTGAGTAGCTCCAATTTAAGATAAGATTAGAGAGAGTCGCCTTAGATGATTTGGTCACATAAAACGACGGTCTTCCAATGACCCAATTTGGAAAGTAGATGTATTAGAATTGACTTATGTTAAGAAAAGGTAGAGGTAGTCCTAAAAAAAAAGAGGTAGACCTAAAAAAACATGGTTAAAAATATTAGAAATTACATTTTTTTATTAGATTTAAATGAGAAATTGACTCTTAATAGAACATAATGAAGAAAAGGATTCATGTAACCTACGCCACATAGTGGGATAAAAGCTTGATGTTGTTCCTGTTGTTATTATTGTTGTTGTTGGTTGTCATAGTTTCTAATCTACTTGGGGATGTTTGGTTGGCTGAACAAGGAATGCAATGCAAAATGAATGAAGTGTAAAAGAAATGAGTGTAAAATGATTACTTTGTAGTTGTTTGGATGAATATAAAATAAATGCAGGTGAATGATTATTTTTTGTTTGGTTAGAAGTAATGAATGTAGAGTAAGGTCCTAAATGGTGATGGTTGATTGCGGTGACAGGCGGCGGAGGACAAAAGCTGGTGGTGGGTGGCGGTCAAGCAAGCTTGGGGTATAAACAATTTTCACTCAAAATTGGAGGAGTTTGGTTTACACTCAAAATGAAATACTTCACTTAAATTACATTTTCTATACTTTGCTTCATTTTGTATTTCAATTAAACACCAAAATTGATAAAACTCCCGCATTTGGAATAATTTACACCCTAAAGTAATCCAACCAAACATTCTCTTAGTCAGAAGAGGTAGTTGACTCAACCTGTCCAAATGATTCTTGTCGACAATTATATGTTGTTTAGTCTAAAGGTACCTTATAGGCCTTAGGTGAATGCTTGTCTAAGAGGACTAATAAAGGGTTTTATTCCCTATTAAATATATCCCATGATTCATTAATCCAAGGTTTTTAACCATTGGAAAACTTATGAGCTCTGGTTATAATCGTAATTTAATGATGTCATTTTACAACAAAACAATCTAGTCAAAGGGCCCTAGTCATAAATATTTACATGTTATGCCATTTAGTGATAAAATTACTTGTTAGATGACACATGCCAGTATGCCACATCCTTACTAACAATAGATTGTTTGTGAATAAATCTTTGGGATATTCTGTATAAGATATTGATTTTTTGTGAATTAAAGTTATTCATTGTGTTATCACTATGGACAAACAATTGGGTAGTGTGCGTATTTTTGCTTTAAGTTTTAGGGTGATAGACTTCACTCAAAATATTTTGAATTATTATTATTATTATTGTATATTTTTATATTTTTATTTGAATATGACCTCAAAATGATTTATATTGGGATTTGTGGGTATTTTAATAAATAAAATCCCCTCATGAATCAAAACAACTAAAATAATTTTTAAAACTCAACATAACCTTGTGCTCATCTCAACACACTATTTGTGTTTTCAATGCATATAGATTTTCAAATTTACGTGATATTCTCTCTCTTTGGCGGAAAACACATGTAATAGAGCATTGATGCATTTATATTTTGGCTTATTTTGTTTTGATGTAATTTGAACATTATTAGTTGTGTTTTATGTTTTTTTTTTTAAATGCTATCCAATGATGGAGAACATCCAATGATTATGGTAGGTTGTGCTTGGGCTATCAAGGCTTGTGTTTGCTAGTATTTGGGTCTTTTTTGTTCTTTGGGCTGCTTGCTGTCGTTCGGATTGGGCCTTGGCTGCTCTCGGGTTGAGCTTTGGCTGCTTGGTTTTGAGCTAAAAAAAGTTGGGTTCTATTTGGTGCTAGCTCATTAATGTTTGAGCTGATGTTTAGCTCATTATGTGGAGGATTAATTGCACTTCTTAGCTCATAAATATGAAAATGTATGTGGAGTGGTGCTTGTTTCTTCCCCTTATTGTGTCTCTTCGGTTTCTTCTTTGTGCTGTACCCGTGGAGTAAAGCTGGGTGCTGGTTGCCTTTTCGGTTTTCCCCCTGGCTATTTTCCCGTGGCTTCTCCTGACCGGTTTCTGTGTTGGCTCTTCGGGTCCCTCCCTGGCTGCTTTCCCGTGGCTTCTCCTGCCCGGTTTCTGTGTTGGCTCTTCGGGTCCCTCTCTGGCTGTGTTCCCGTGGCCTCTTCTACCCGGTTCATGTGCTGATTTTTGGGAGCTGTTTTGTGTTAACTGCTGCCCTTCCTCTTCCTCTTCCTCTTACCTGATTGATTTGGTTGAAGGTAGAAGTTGGTTGTTTGGCTCCCATTTCTCTCATATAAATATGAAGTATTTTGTCTTGAGGAGGTTGTTGATTGACTGGAGATAGATTGTTAAAACTTGAGGGTTTCTTCTCTTGGAAAAGCTTGAGAGCTTGTTCCATCTCTTCTCTCCTCTATTTCGTCTTGGCTTCTAATCTCTTCTTCTCTCCGCAAGTTCCACTCCACTTATATCCTTATTCTTGAGCTATTGGGAGATGTTTGTTGGCTGATTTGGGAGACATTTGCCGGAAGAGTTTGGTAGGAAGTTGGACCCTTTTGCTGTGGTGGACCCTCGGTTTGCAAGCCTAAGCACTTTATCATATCTTTCCTACTTCTCGTTGCCTGTGAGGAAACCGCTTGTCGGTTGATCTGAGGTGTTGACTGTTAAAATAAATATAGAACCAAAAAAAAAAATGAAAACAGTTCACGCTCTTAATCCGGCCCCACCTCACCAAACGACGTGGCTTTTCATGTTCATAACTGCTATTCAACAAATCGCTCAATAAAAAGGAAGGGAGAAATGGAAGGTAGGAACGGACACTGACTGTTCGACTCCGTCATTTGCTTTGGCTTCGTTGTTTCACAGAGATAGCACGACTTTCTTTCCCTTTTCGTCGTCGCTGTTCGGCTTCAGTTTGCAGAGATCGCCCACGTCGCTTCTGCAACTCCCTGGCTGCCGTTCGACTTCGTGAGCCCCTGCCCGACCGTGCCCTAAGCCGATCCAACCAAGGATCGACCAACCTGACTGCCGCCGATCCCACCTGAGCCGACGCCGCCGGGTGACTCGACGACCACGACCTGCTCCCGAGCCGTGCTTGCCTCCGACCTATGCCCAATCGGGCTTCCCCCTGTTTCCCGATTGTGCTCTCCCTCTCTCTCTCCTTTTTATTATAATTATAATATATAATATATAAAATAATAATATAATATCATATATTATATTGTTATATTAAAGGTAATAAAATATTATATATATTATAAAGAAGAAGAAGAAGAAAAAAAAGAGGGGGAAGACAAAAAAAAATTGTATATATATAACATTGAATTTCAAACAGATGTCGAAGACCCCGGCCGTTGTACCTTAGGTCCGACCGGGATGGTTTTGTCGGAAGAGTTTGGTAGGAAGTTGGACCCTTTTGCTGTGGTGGACCCTCGGTTTGCAAGCCTAAGCACTTTATCATATCTTTCCTACTTCTCGTTGCATGTGAGGAAACCGCTTGTCGGTTGATCTGAGGATAGTATTTTTATTTTATAATTTTGTTTCGTTTGTTCAGACTTTTTCGTTTGTTTTGTGTTTGTTTGGATGTTTGCTATCTAAATTGAATTGAACTGGGTTTCATTTGTCTTGGTGTTCTCCTATTTATCTTTTCTTTTTAGTTTGCCCACATCAAGCATTCATGGAAATCCTCTGTCATATGGAAGGCTCTCATCTTGAGAACCCTTTCTCAGGATCCCCACTAAACACACTTTCTATCCACTCTTTTTTGCTCCACTTCCACGATTCTCTTTTTGAGCCCAATTCAACGCATCTTTGAAGTAAGGATCTTATTGCATAGAGAATACAAGTGATTACAAGGCAAAATAAAGAGGAGAGGTAGAGAAGAAAAAAAGAAAGAAAGAAAGAAAGAAAAAAAGAGTTTATTATTAAGTGGTCATCATCAAATTGGTACCGTAGTAATCTCCCCATGTATCACTTTATCAAAAGATTCAAACTATTTAGCATTTATCTATTTGAAGAAATCTTGATCTTCAGTTTGAGAAGTAGGTTATATTATCGGTAAATTTATGTTTATTTTCTTAAAATGTTCTGCATTGATAATGAAGATATTGCTTAATGACATAAAGGTGAGGTGAACAATTACCGTTAAGTAAATTCAGTTGACCTTACAAAATTTTGTTTATAACCGTCAAACAAGGGAAGCTAAATGTGAAGGAACAAGTATGAAAAGCTATAATAGTATGAAATGTAAATAAAATTTGGCCTTTGCATTATCATTGGACATTTCCAACTTTTTTAAATGCAAAATTAATTATGTGGTCAGTTTGATGGATCTCCAAATTTTGTTTTTCATCTGCCAATCTTTTGGTCTTATGCAGTTTTTTTAGATATTATTTATCATTAATCACTTCTCGGGTTCTTAATTTTAATTTCCTTGATGTATTTTTGCCATATTTTCTGCAGGCTCTAAAAGATCTATACACCCATTTGACTCCAATTCAACGTCTTAATATTGCCCGGCATCCAAATAGGCCAACATTTCTGGATCATGTTTTGAACATAACAGAGAAAGTATTTTCTCTTTGCTACTTTTTTTTAACTCATATTTTATCACGTTTGCTCATCGTCTTATTCTTCTCAGGCTTATGCTTAAGCTCATTCTTTTCTTATTATTTGTTCGATGATGCTGTCCAGTGGGTGGAACTTCATGGTGATCGTGCAGGGTATGACGATCCGGCTATTGTCACTGGTCTTGGAAGTATAGATGGAAAAACTTATATGTTTATTGGTCATCAAAAGGGAAGGAATACAAAAGAAAACATTCATAGGAATTTTGGAATGCCAACTCCGCATGGGTAATGATATATCATGGGTTTCATTAGTTAAATCCTTACTACTGCCATGTTTTGATGACTGCTACAGGGGCGGATCTAGCTTTAATTTTCAGGGGGGCAAACTTTATAATTAAAAGTGTAGAGTTTCTTTTCATAAATATCCTTACAATCAAAATTTGTTCCGAGGGTGTTACCTCTTGACCCCTATTTGTTCATCGTTGTACGCTTCGCAGATATCGGGGGTCCAAGAGGGCAGCGCCCCCTGGCGGGGTTTCTGGGGGTCAAGGGGTAGCGCCCCTGGAACAAATTTTGATTGTAAGGATATTTTGGATTCTCTTTACTATTTTTCTTTGTATTTGGTTCATCGTTCCCTAACAATAACATCTCTACACAATGTGTTTAATTATGTTGGGGCAATTGCCTAAAGATCATAGTATTTTAAAACTTTTAGGGGGGGCAATTGCCTAAATACCCATATAATAAAGACTAAAAAATACATGAAAATAAAGACTAAAAAATACATGAAATGGGACACATACCTAAAGAATCATGTAATACAGAATTTTTTTATTTTTTCAGGGGGGGCAATTGCCCCTCTGGCATTAAGGTGGATCCGCCCATGGACTGTTGCATGTAAAATGAGACTTAAAAATGGTTTCATACGAACTTTTACTCTGTTCAAATGCAACCTATCTTATACCCGATAATTTACATCTATATCCTTTCTAATTTCAACTACGATGTACGTGATAATAATTCAACAAGTTGTTAAGTTATTTAAGGCCAGTTTCCTTATTGATAAGTATGGCTTTGGACCTATGTTTCTCAATTATGCTTCATCTTTAACATGCTAGAATAGGTCGTGGAACTCCATTTGAAATTGTACTGCCCTGTATAGATACCGGAAGGCTTTGCGCATGATGAATTATGCTGATCACCATGGATTTCCCATTCTCACATTTATAGATACGCCTGGTGCCTTTGCTGATCTCAAGTCCGAAGAAATTGGTCAAGTAAGTTTCATTCTATAGTTTTCTGTAGTGTTTGAAGGTTATCGTGTTATATTTGTCTCAGATAAATAGCATGAAATTATTCAGCTTGTTGATATGCATGCAGGGTGAAGCAATAGCTTACAACCTGAGAGCTATGTTCGGGCTGAAGGTCCCAATAGTAACGGTTGTTATTGGTGAAGGTGGATCTGGTGGAGCTCTTGCAATTGGTTGCTCAAATAAACTGTTTATGTTAGAAAATGCAGTCTTTTATGTTGCAAGGTGAGGTGACCATCATAAGTAGTGTAACTACATTTACAAAAATATTAATCAGTAGTAATCTGCTTCAGTTATATCAGTCTTCACCACTTCCAATTCTCGACTCCCAACTCCCAAAATGCATGTTTACACACAAACCACATGAAAAATAGGATTTATGGTTCTTTCTTTAATTGTTTAATTTAGAGTGCAAGTTTTAGAGCTATTGCTAGGTTAACTTCATTTGAATTTTGGAGGCCATGGGCTCTAATATTGGAAACCTCCTTTTTGCAATGATGTGAGATAAGATTGCATAATTAAACCATTCCCAAATTTTTGTATTGGTGGGAGACTTGTCTACTGGATACCCCCTTGCTTGACTTTTGAGTAATAATAGAGCCAAAACTTGATATTGAACTGGGCATGCGTACTGTGATAATTACAATTCATGCTTGGCTAAAACCTTAGTGCAAATCTAGAAGATACGGTTTTCATTCTTATTAATTCAAATTAGAAAGATTACCCAAATGTTAATCAAAATTTTGCGTTTCTTTCCCTTGATTTGAACTTCTAAAATATTGTCAAACAATTTATTTTCTTAGCATATTATCTTGTACATTTGGTCCCTTGGAAATCCTGCTTTGTTTGAACCTTGAGAGGCTATTTTTGCATAATTTATGATCTTCGAACCATATGTCATAGCAGTGATGTTTCAGCAAGCCTGGGACAACATTGAATATGTTAAGGTTCCTAAATATCGGTGTGTTCTGTGCATACAACCGTTAATTATTTTTCTTAATCTTAGTGGGAGGATCATTTGGAGTAGTTTATTCATCCATGTGATTTTAAAAGGTTGTTGTCTTCGTACATTTTGTTTTTGGATCATAAGAGACTACAATTTCAGTTCATGTGATTATTATCGATCCATGCTTTCCTAGGTCTCTTGTATTTCATGCAGATATGTACTTGGACTTCCAAATAATTTTTATTTACATTTTTTTCCTTTTTTCCCTTCAAAATTTAGCCCTGAAGCATGCGCAGCAATTTTATGGAAAACTTCCAAAGCAGCTGCAAAGGTAAGCTGATTTTGTTTATGCTCTTTTAATTATCCAATCAGGCCTTAGCTAATTAAGTATGGCTCCTGTTTGTAGGCAGCTGAAAAACTCAAGATCACAGCCACAGAACTTTGTAAGCTCAAAATTGCAGATGGGATTATTCCGGTATATGTTCTTGAATTATTGCGATTGGTCATTTATTTACTTGTTACTATTTGAGTAAATGAAAACGTGTATGTATTCTTGTAGATCTATCAAATAATTTTCAGCAGAAGTATTCTGCCAATGCATTGTGGTGTCGGAATTGGTCGGGGTTTAGGGTGTTGATGAGTCGAGCTAAGCTAGAGTTACCCCTAGCTTGAGCTTGTGCTTGTGCTTCTGCAAGTTGGAGTTAACTTATGAGTTGGCTCGTTTATTATTAAATAGAGAAAATGATTATGATCCAAGCCATTACTATAATAAAATTGTAAAAGAAATAAAAAATTAAAAGAGAAATAATAAAGAATCACTTGATATAAGAAAATGAGATATAATTTTTAAACATTTTTAATAGCTTTACACTTAATCTCATGAACTATAATATATTTTAAGTGTATTTTACATTAATATTTTTTAAATGAATCGGCTCATGACCTAGTGAGTTGAATCGAGACTGACTCAAACTTGGCTCATTAGATCATGAAGCTTGAATCACAAGCTATTTATCAAGTCGAGCTCGAGTAGGTTTAACTCACACCCATAATCTTAGTTTAATTGGGATCCAACTTTGATGAATATTGAGGTTTGGTCTAAATTTAGTGGTTGTTTTGATAGGCATCTAAACCAGATCCAAATCCATTTGATATTAGCAATTCAAATCACGCCACTCAAGGAATAGGGAAGGGTAGGAGTTGTGTTTATGATTTTTTTTTTTCTATTAATTCTTGTTGGCTGCTATGTGAGGTGTTAACTATGATTTGAGCCACATTTTCTTACAACTTTTTTCCTTGCTATTTTTCATATGCCTCTTATGTTAACTAAAGCCCTTTCAAATTAATTCTTCCTGCCTCTATATGGGCCTTATATTTTATACGGCCAAATTACCTTTTCTAATGTTCACTATCTTGTTTTCATTTGGCACCTCATTAATGTAATCATTTTGCATCATGTCATTCCTATATTATTTATAATCTAATGCTGATTGCATTTGTTAACAAAAATCAAACAACATTGATGCAAATGATTTATTGGATTAAACCTATAGAACTAAAAGGGAATTCATCAAGATTTTATTTACTCGCTGGACCTTTAGTGCTACTGAGCACTATGAGCAAACTCATGGAAGGGGCGTAATAGAATGAAACACATCAGGTTCACGTGTAGCTATCCGCTGTTATGATGCAAGCTATTTAACATTATGTTCCGATTAATTTTCATGATATTTTCAACTACTTTATTTAATGAGCATTATAGTGCATCCTTGCTTCTAGAGCCTTCTTTAGCATTTCCTTTTATTCACCATTTATTACTATATGATCAATCATGTATGCTAGTGCAGCATCCAATGAAATGCATTACGTTTTGGTAGTTGTTCCTATTTTGAATGTTTGTCTGGATCACAGGAACCCCTTGGTGGTGCGCACACTGATCCGACATGGACATCACAACAAATAAAGGTTGCAGTTACGATGGCCATGAAGGTAAAAATTCAAACAAAGCGTTCATTCATGGTATATAGAATAAATTAATGCCTTGTCGAAAGATGCCTAAAAATTATCGGTTAAGACTTCTCTATTTTCTTATATCTCTCGAGCATTGCTGAAATGGATAAAAGTTGGCCGAACGTTGACCAAAATTAGGTATAATTAGTTTTTTGTTATAATCTAGCATTTGTAGTTGAAAAGCAAAACATGGTTTTGAAAACGGGACCGGATCGGCCGGTTCAACCGTGAATCGGACATATAGCCGGTTTCGGTCCTCATGAAAAACTAGCCCAGCATCAAACCAGTGAGTATTGGTTTGATCCGTCGGTTCAACCGACCAATCATTGAACCTGACCTGATTTTTACGAACCGATCAGTTCAATTCATAATCTATTTAAATAATTTATTTAATATTTTAAATTAATGTAAATATAACATATTTTATTTAATAATAGCAAAACATTTAATAATGATTATGTATCAATTAAGCACTAACAAATCATACCCACATAGTCCTACACCCCATGTGTGCTCTTAACCATGAAAATAAGAAAAGCTATATAAACAATACACCACAAAGCTCTCAAGTGATGTAACAATTAGTTAAAATTTCTACTTTAAGACATATACATTATATATTTTTATACATTTTTTTAATAATAAGAATAATATTCATTTTATTGGTAATTATATTTTAATTATTTATCTATTTTATATTTTATTTTTTTTAAATTACATATTAAAAATTAAATTTTATCTATTTATTAAATTTAAATAATCTAATATGAATGATTTGTACTTGTAAAGTTTAATGTGAATTTAATATATAATTTATGGTTTTAAACTTTATCTAAATATATAACATATATTACAATAATTTATAATAATTTATATTAAATTGAACATAAATTAGTAATAATTTATATTAAATTTATAAGTTTATGGATAAACTAATTTTTTTTAGGTTACAACTTTATATCATTATATAATTATTATATCGTTTATTTTTAATTTAAATAATTATAATATTTATTATGTCATCCGGTTCAACCCTAGTCAAACCATTAAATCTTGATTATTGAACCTCTCATATTTCCGGTTCGACGCCCGGTCCGATTCTCACAACTTTGAAGCAAATCCTAATTTTCTAGAAAATTAGTAGCATTTGGTAATACTTTTTTTTACTATTTCGCCCACCACTTTATGTAACATTAATAGCCAATTTCTAGGGATTTATAACAAATCAGCTTCTTGGAATTTATGATGGAAAAACCTTAAAATACTCCTCCAGTTATTCATATGTGGCCAATTTAGTCTAAGAATATAACTTTTCTCCAATTTATTCCCTTTACCATACAAAATTGATCCCCCCTTAAGTAAAAAATAATGAAAAGTGTGATATAAAATTTATTGCCGCATTGACCATCCATATTTATTCCCTCGATCATCCAAATTTAGTACTTGAGGGACTATTTTAGACCAATTTGATATAGTCAGAGAGATTGAATTGGAGAAATGTGATATTCATTTTTACGCATGGTAATGTTAATATTCCCTTTGTAATAAAGATGACTTTGTAAGGAATTTCTGTCAGATAAAGAAAACAAATAAGAACCACAATTTAAAAAAAAAAAACACAATTTTGAGAGAGGGACAATAGATTTTTAGATCCTAGAGTAACTGGAAGTAAAACACCATCATATATAAAAATGAGTAGTAAGAAATGATAGAAATTATCATTAGAAGAAGCAAACCAATAAGGGATGTACCTATCATAATCAAGCTTAAACAGATTGTTTTTAGATTAGGGAAGTTCTTTATATCATTGAGATGAAAGAAATAGTCCCTCTCCATAACCCATATCCATCCATCATGGTTAGTAGAGTGAAAGGAAGCAATAAACTTGTTATAATTTCTGGCGAAAGTGAAAAGATCATTAACTTGAGTAGCAAGGAGCAATCATTAATTCTTTTTTTTTCTTCCAAAAAGTGGATTATTCTACCAATGAACTTTCTAAGAGCTGTAAGAATGTGAAGGAACAATATCTTTAGGGACCCCTTCAATGAAATTGCAACATTGAGATACATTGTCAGACCAAAAGTTCATGGGAGTCAAGTTGTTAAAATACTTGCCACAAATGATAATGGCAACAACAAAAAAATCATTGTTTAGTTACATTGCCTTCTGAATCCATTTATCATGGAGAGACAAATTTCGTGAAACATTAGTCTTTGATACTAAGACGTCCATTATCTTTAGGTCAATAAATGTTCTTCTATTTGATGGGATTTAGAGCACCACTATAATACTTATCATTCCTAAAAAATTTCCTTTCAATATCATCGAACTTTTTGTTAATCCTATTAGGAATTCAAAAGAAAGAGAAGTGGAGAGGAATAAAGTTGAGCACTGAATTGTTGAGCATAATCTTAGTACCTTTTGACAGGCAGTTACCTTTACAAGAAAAAAGCCTCAACTGAATCTTTTAAATGTGTGGATTCCAAAAAAACATGCTAAAAAATTTTAGATCCAAAAAGAATACCCAATTACTTGAAGGGGATATATTCAAAAGAATAACCCAACATACTAGCAAGAAATAAATTTATACCACACAACTTACCTAGGCAAATCAAAATAGATTTGTGAAGTTGATTATAAGCTTAGAAATTCACTGAAAGATGCATAAATGCTCTTGAAAATATTAGCTTGAAAGGGAAATGCTTACAAAATAGTAAGTTTCGTTTCCAAATTGAAGAATACTAATGGTCGGGTCCCTAATTTTGAAATAACAGCCCTCAATACACTTATTGGCAAAAATAACTTCTAGCAATTTATGAAGAACATCTGTATGATGACGAACGGATGAGGATAAAGGGGTCTCCTTGTCCAAGTCCCTTAGAACTGTTGAATTGCTTCCAAAGATTCTCATTAATAATGTTTTGAGAAGATACGCGAGAGATAAATTTTGGAGGGAAGAATTAACTTAAAAGAGAGTTGATCGAAAGTTTCACCAACAATTGTCAAAAGTTTTTTCAAAATTCTATTGAACATGTAATTCTCCTTCTTATGCTTGATGATGGAGTGAATTGATTCACGAGCAACAACAATAGAATTGATAGTTTATCTATCAAGTACTAGTGATAAAAACACCTTGAGAGACAAACCAAATTGGGAAGAAAAATTTTGAGTTTGTTAGTAAAAACATGAGTGAAAATTTTGAATGAACTATTTGAGAAGAGTAATAGGACTAAAGACCTGAAGAAGTTCACTTTTCTCGTTTTTAGGAACAAGACAAATGAAAGCATAACTTGGTTAAGAGGCTTTGCTTAAATAAATATATTCATGCATAGAGATCAATGAGCTCGAGTTCGAACTTGATGATGCTCGACTTACAAGGTCGCGAGCATGCTCGAATAACTATTAGAATTTTTTAAATAATTATTACTTTTATTAAATTTAAATATTAAGAAAACAATTGTTAAAGATGGAACATAATAAATGCGGGTTACAACAGTTTCTAAAAAATATAAAATAATAAAGTTATTTTTCCAAACAAATAAAAAGTGCAGCCATGTGTTGGAAAAGACAAAAAAGCTGCTTTACATTAATAGTAGTGTAGCTATTTTCAAGCAGTTCTAAAATAATAATAATAAAATAGACTCTTCTTCTTGCTACACGGGATTTTATCTGCCAAAACGTGAGCTCAAGGCTCTGTGACGGCACGCCTTACTTCTTCTCCGGCGGCATACACTCTTTATCTCCAGCAATTTCAGGTGAGGGCGTGATCTCACGAGCTTCTTGCGAGTTGTTTTAAGTGCCACGAGTCGAGATTGAGCTCGCCTTTTGAGCTTGAGTTGAGTTCGAGCTCGGGGTTTGGCTGACGAGTCGAGCTCGAGTTAGGCATGACTCGAGCTTGACTCGACTCGTTTTCACCCATATTCTATCCTCTTCAGCTCATTTGAATTTCTTTAGATAATATTTTTGTACATCTAATCAATGATATAGGTGCATCATAATTCAACTCAGTGAGCACATAATGCATCTAAATTACAGTAACAAAATTGTAGTTTAAACAATATGTATGCTTGCTGCAAAACATGAAATAATTTAACTTTACTTAATAATGATAACTCCATTTATTTATTTTTTTGAAAATGACCATAAATATATATCATACAAAACACACATCGGGTCTTATTATTTTCTATAACCAATGAAATTGTCATAGGAGACACTGGCTAAATAATACGAAGTTACTTTCATTTTCATTTCATTTTTCAATTCACACGTGCGGGTACATCACTCCTCTAACTTGTACTATAAAGAGATGTACTTCATCATTCAATCATGCAGATGCAAGCATATTTATTTAGTCACTTTATTTGTATGTCATTCAATAACATTCTATGTATGATGATGAATTGAAAGATCTCATGCTAACTATTACTTATTTTGATATGACCATTCATTGAAATAGAAAAGGATAACTACTGCTTGAGTTTTACAATAATAATTGCTAAACAAGTATTAATTTATTCAATGTAATCAATTAAGAAAAAACAACATTATTACTATAAGAATATGTACATGAGTACTCATCACGAATTAAGTTATTTGATACTTCACTCTTACTCCTTACTGCAATGTTGATGGTTTAAAACTTATAATTATGCATAAGAGAGACACACACAGATATATATATACTTAATAATATCTCTCATAACTATCTCTCATTTTTTCAGACAAGATATCATTAACTTGAAATTTTCTTGTATCTAAATCTAATTTATGAAGTTAGATTATTAATTATTACAAAAATATTATACAATAACTTTGCACGTGCTCTCTCTCTCTCTCTGTCGCTCTTCCTTCACTCTCTATATGCATAAATTTATCACTAATTATTTTAATTAAAAAAATTGGATCATCATCATCTAATTATTATTATTTTCTAAGATAAAATTTCTTTATTATGATACTTAAATTTACTATTACAAATAAGTTTTCATCCTTTAACACACACATACACACACATATAATATATATATTCTCTCATTTAAAATATAAATATCTCATAAATAATTAATTTCTATTTTTAAATTTAAATGCATAACTTTACTCATTATTTCATGAATTCACAATATTTTAAATTATAAAAAAGTTCATAAAATAATCAATTAATCTCATATTCTTCTCTTTCCTACTTAAAAACCCGGATATCAATATTAAAAAAATGAACTGAAAACAATGCAACTGACCTCTTATTTACTTCTCCTACATCTTCCTCGACGCCAAGCAATAGAACGATGGAATAGATATAGTAGGTTCAATCGAATCGACCATCCTCAGTTTGGGATATTACAATCTTTCCCATTTATAAAAATTTCGACCTACAAATTTATTTATGAGTTATGACTTATAGAAAATGCTTTAATCTAAACATCTATACTTTTTGCGTAAATTTAAAATTTAAGACAGTTACAATGCTTTTATTTTGATAACCGCCTCATTTTCCTTTTTATTTTCAAATTAGCTTACACTAATCCTGGTTGTTGTTTCTGAGATATTAAATTAATGTAATGCCAATCGATCAGTTTTTCTTTTCTTTTTAATTCAGATATACAAACTGATATACCCAACAAATTTTTTTTTTTTCAACTTAACGATTAGAATCTAAACCAAATGAGAATTAAATTTGATTACATCATCATTAGTTAATAAAGCGAAAAAAATCATTGATTAGCTGTTAAAGTATAATTAAAAGATCAAAATAATGAAGTTTCTCTTTTCTTATTAAGGAAAGAAGAAAAAAGCAATTTATTTGATGCTTCTTTTCTGATTAAATTTGAACTTTTAATTAGAAATAAATGATGATAGGATATATATCGTGGCTTCATAACCCTATGCAACATCTATGATATGTTTTGAAAGCAAGTCTTCATTCTATTTATAAGGCTTTGTGACGGTTTAGTCTGTAACTTATAATTATCGGTTAAAACGTGATCATCCTAGGTATATGTATGTTTGAAACGCAAGTCTTCATTCTCTTCATGAGTCTTTCGGGAGGATTTGGTTTTTAACATATAATTACCTGTTATCACAACTGCATCTTGGAGCGGGAAATAACAGAATATCAATGAAACAGAACAGACCCATTTAGCATTATCATGCTCTGACTTCACTCATTAATGCTTTCATCTTGTTTATAACTTGTTATCATTACTGTTGCTAGGTCCCAAGTCCTGAATGAGAAAAGTGAAGAGTTGTGTTAGGTAGTCGACAGCTAGCATAAAACTTGTCGAATAATCATAACATTCCTCTCATAACTGTTACACAATGGCGAAAAAGGATTCATGTAGACGGCCCCACATAGTGGGACAAAGGCTTGATTTTGTTGTTATATCATTGTCACTTCATTAGCCGTATACCTATTATTTGGGGTTAGGATTAGGAGCCGGTTTGCTCCATTCATTCTTATTGAGTGATGCACATGGATTAATTCTATTTTTTGCAAAAAATTTCACACAACTTTTTGCCTAGGTACCTGTATCTACTGGTTTCACTTCATAGTCTGTTCACATAATTTTTTTTTTCATTCATCTTACTAGTGCATATTCTACAGTTAATTGCCCAAATTTTACATGTTTATTTTCCACTATTGCCTTAGGCTTCTGTTATGCTTGAACCGGCCCAGCTTTCTGAAACGGAGTTTTAGCACAAAATTTTGTACTAAAACTCCGTTTCAGAAAGCAATAAAAACGCCGTCCCAAACGAAGCCTTAGTCTCTATAATATAATTATTTTTCGATGTATTATTTAAAGTTTTATCCAAAATCTATCTTAACATTTCCATGTTTGTCGTGCTCCTTTTGGCTATGAATGATTTTTTAAAATTGCCACTCAAATATGCAGTATTTTTTATCTTGTTGCAGTTTGATGAACTTTACCTTTTTTTTTAAGTCTTATCCTTTGATTGTATGATGCTCTTATTGCCTTAGGCTTCGTTTGGGACGGCTTTTTTATTGCTTTCTGAAACGGAGTTTTAGCACAAAATTTTGTACTAAAACTCCGTTTCAGAAAGCAATAAAAACGCCGTCCCAAACGAAGCCTTAGTCTCTATAATATAATTATTTTTCGATGTATTATTTAAAGTTTTATCCAAAATCTATCTTAACATTTCCATGTTTGTCGTGCTCCTTTTGGCTATGAATGATTTTTTAAAATTGCCACTCAAATATGCAGTATTTTTTATCTTGTTGCAGTTTGATGAACTTTACCTTTTTTTTTAAGTCTTATCCTTTGATTGTATGATGCTCTTGAAACGCATCTCCATTCAACTTTCAATCTGAACTTTATAAATTTTATTAGCATATATGATCTCATTTTTCAGTGTAATAGTTCCAATACCCATCACATCTTGATATTACCTAAATTTCTAGTAATATTGTTGAAAAAGATAAGAATCAAAATGGTCTCATGACTCTTTACGAAGGGATAAAATGGTCTCCGGCTATTTAAAGTTTTATTTTTATCCCTTGACTAAAAGTGATATTACAGGACTAATTTGGTTTGGTCCCTATTTAAAGAATCAGGGAATAAGTTGATATTTTTATATAGTGGAAGATTATTTTGATCTTTCAAAAGATGCTAGGGGACCAATTCGGTCCTTTTCTCATTATTGAACTGTTAGATGAAGATATCCAATCGATGATACTGTAAGTTGATGCTATTTCTTCTCTATTCAAGTTCTGAAAATTAGTTTGGGTCTTGTTAACTTTTCCTTCTATTTCATCGTGTTATTCAGGCATTATATATAATGAAGAATTTGGATATAATTTTGAGTTTATGCACTTTTCTTTATACTATTTTATTCATGCCTATAGTTTTTCTAATTCAACTGAGATGAATTTTCATAGGAACTTAATGAAATGGACACTGATACTCTACTTAGCCATCGCCATTTAAAATTCCGCCAACTTGGTGGATTCCTAGAAGGATCCATTGTAGAACCCGAGATGAAGCGTAACATGAAGAAGAAGGAGCTTGACGTTTCCAAAATAACAGCCAACCTGGAAGCAGAACTTGAAAAGCTGAAGGTAGAATTAGACGCCAAGGAGAAATCCCGGCCTAGACCTGCTTTCTCTGATGAGGATGTGGAGACGGTGAAGCAAGAAGTCGACAAGGAGATAACCAATGCCTTCATTTCCATGGGCTTACAGGAGAAACTTGAAGCTCTCAAGATGGATTTATCCAAAGCACCCTCTGATCAGAATCTCAGCCCAGCTCTCAAGGACAGGATAGACAGACTTGCTCAGGAATTTAAGAACAACTTATCTGCACCTGGATCATTTGATGGGCTAAAACAGAAGCTTAAAATGTTATCAGAGATAAGAACCCTACAGGAACAGAAGACAAAGGGAGAGATACTCAAGAAGGAGATCAATGAAAAACTCAAAAAACAGGCTGAAGTGAAGATGGAGTTAGTGAAAAAGGCTCGTGATTTGGTGGGAAAGGGAGAGGAGGTGGATGAGGATACACTAAAAGAGGTGAGCAAGGCTAAGGATGATTTAATAGAAATGCTGAAATCTGCAAACTTTGAAGTGTTGGGAGTGAGCAGTAAGATAGCTCCTTCAGCCCCTCCAGTTTTAGTAGAGAAGGTAGCGAAAGCTAATGAAGTGATCTTCAAGGAAATAGAGCAGGTAGTTGACATGGCTGGTTTGAGAGGAAAGTTAGCTGAGCTGAGATCAGAGATTGACAAGGGGACAAGCAAAGATCTGAATAAAATAGAGAGCTTGATAAAAGAGATAAAGGAAGGTGTGTTTACATCACTAGATGCAGAGGAATTGGAAAAGAAGGTTAAAAGCGCAGTTGGTTTGCAAGCAGCTCCTGAAGCAGTTGGTGCCAGTGCTGACAAGAAATAGGTTTTTCAGTAATTTGTTTCTTTGTTTTATGAATATTATTAGATTAGATTTAGCTTTCTTTGCCTCGAACCTCGATTAATTATTCTGTGCGGTCATCGAACGATATCCAGAGACGAATGAGAACACGCCATGTTGTTTTTTTGCTGTGTACAGTGCGGTACCGAGTGATGTGGCGTGTTTTGATTCGCCTCTGGACCGTTTGGTGACCGCACAGAATAATTTCTCTCCGACCTCAGTTTCACTTTCACTATATTTAATTGAGGATTTACATATAAATCATAGGAAATTTATATATTTATATATCTAACACATAAAATTTTATATTTATTTATATAACACTAAAGATTTTAGATCATATCAAAAATATCAATAATATTCACTTTTAAGTGAAATTTATTTATGCATATGTTTTGATATGATTGAACAATTAAATTGTTATATGAATAAATATAAAAGTTTTTAAGTATTAGATAGGTAAATGCATAAAAATTTTGTGATATGTCTATTTATTTTGTAGCTTGTTGGGCTCTATGAGAGCGTTTGAATATGCTAATGCCTAAGTTGTTGAACTTCCAGAGGAATAAACAATAAGTTGGTGAATTACGAGTTAATAAATGTTCATGCACTCAATAAATTCTATGCAATATTTATAATTATTGTATGCCAAAAAATTTGAGTGGTAGAGTGTGTTTTATATCGCAGCGTTGTATAAGAATTCAGCTCGTATAGATAATAGTAGTAAAAGTAAAAAAAAAATTACGTGGAAAACTCAGAAAGGAAAAAAATCATAGGGCATAATTCTGTTGAAAAATCTACTATGTAGTAAGTGATATATGAATAATTCTTTCGTTATTGTTGAAGTAAAGGTGGTTAAATAAACGTATGCTTTTTTCTTATGAATATTACATAAAGCGAATGTCCACAGAGGAACAATATATACCCAATAGTTGGGTTAAAATTTGTCAATATTCTAGAGATGGTGGCAATGGTAGTTGTTGATAATAATAGTTGGTGGTGGTCATCAAAGCAATGGTTGAAAAATGCAAGAAAGTTCTTTATAGTATTCTCTCTTCTTCCCCCTTCATGTGAAGAATGATGTTGTATATGTATATATATTTTTTTGAGTGACATGTTCTATAAATATGACGATGATCTAGAGCAAATTTGAAGTGTTTCATTGGATGATCTATATTGATTCCCTTGATTATAGAGTGTTCATCAAGCATTTAAATGCATTAATGATATAAGAATTAAGTGATCTTGGGTTCATTGGATTCGCCTCATTGAGCCACTCGATTTGACTATAAGTATGCTATATCTGGAGATTGTTTGGTTATCCAGTTAATGCTTTAAAGCTTCCAAATATGCTTTGGTTTCTTGATTTGGCTCGGATGAGACCGATTTTGGTGTCATCGGATTCGTCTCATCAAAACGTTCAATTTGATTATAAGTTTGCTAAAATGAGAGTTTGAATGGTCCCAAATTTAATTTTAGAAGTTTTCAATTCATATGTGCATCAAGATTCAAGCCCGATCACATTGATTTTTGGCAACATGTTAGTTGCTCCCTATTTTCAGACGTTGAAGTCTATATAGCCCAAAAATACATGTCTGAGCCTTTCAAACTTTTGGTGAGGTAAAATTAGAATTTCAAGATAATTACGAGATGCAACCTCTCAGACATCAATGTGAACTTTCCATTGGGATCACGAACTTGTAAAATGTCATTGATCATAATTTTAGCAATTCATAAAGTTGACGTGTCGATTGGAGCATGAGATGTCAATGAAATTTGCTCTCAAGCTTTTAAATTTGTCTAAAATTAATTGTAGAGGCTCTGTTGGGCTTTGAAAGAGTCAAAATTGAGTTCATAACGTTGAAAAATGGTCACGGGGCCCCAAAAATATTAGAATAGATGTGTATGGACTGGAAATTGGGCTTGTAATGGATCACGCCAATTGGACCTACTAGCTGGCAGCATGTCATTGCTTGTCTCAAGCCTTGGGGTGCATTACGTCCGCAAGCGTCATTTTGGTGCCATAATGGGCTGCTGTTTGACATCATAGTGTGGTGCCGTTTTGGCTCCACCCCTTTTTTTGTCCCAAAACTTCTTTTTTGTTTGAAAGTTTTTTTAATTTTTTTTATAGATTTTTTAAATATATATATTTTTTAAAATGGGAATTTTTTAATTATTTATTTTATATTATATAAAAAGTTTTTTTTTTAAATTTTTTATTTAAATCCATGCAACTCCCTTCCTTTATATCATGTAACTGTCTTCCTTAAATACATATAACTCTCTCACTTAAAGTTATGTAACTTTTCTTCTCCCCCCTTCAAGAATAAATAACCCTTAATTGGAGGACGATTTTGCACAACTACTCTCCAATATTCTCTTTCTCCCATTATCTTTCTCTACTCCATTTTTTCTGACATTAGATGTATTTCATTATATTGAATAGAAGGTATCCTCTATCAAGCTTTAGTTTCCCTCTCTATAAAGAAGAAGTTGCTCCTGCCCCCTTTTCTTTTCTCTTCTCAACTTCTTCTCACATTAGAGACATTCTACTGTTTTGAATAAATGATATCCCCTATCAAGCTCCCATACCCCTCTATATAGAGAAGTTACTCTTATCACCATTTTATTTCTCTTCTTCATTTTTTCTCGCATTAAAGGCATTCCACTATCTTGAATAAGTGTTATCCTCTATTAAGTTCCAATGCCCCTCTCTCTAGAGAAGAATTTATTCTTTCCCTATTTTCTCTCTTCTTCACTTCTTCTCATATTAGAGGCATTCAACTGTCTTGAATACGTGTTATCCCCTATCAAGCTTCAATGTCCATCTCTGTAGAGAAAAAAGTTATTCTTGCCCCCATTTCTTTCACTTTTCCACTTCTTCTCATACAAGAGACATTCCACTATCTTAAATATGTTGTATCCTCTTTCAAGCTCCAATGACCCTCTCTATAGAGAATAAGTTGTGCTTGCTCTTTTTGTTTTTCTCTCTTCTCCACTTTTTTTTCTCACATGAGAGACATTATACTATCTTGAATATATGATATCTACTTTCAAGATCTAGTTCCCCTCTCTGTAGAGAATGAGTTATTCTTTATGCATAATTATGAGTGATACATAATATTTTTGATGGCAGATTTGTGGTCTTTATCTTAAAAGAGAGTTGATTGACTCTATTTTGAGAGATTTTTCATCCTATTTTGAATCTTCATATATATATTTTTCCAATTGGGAGATCATCATTGTTAATTATTATAACTCTGGATGTAAAAATGACATTAATGAAAGTACTTTAATTCATGGAGTTTTATCTTCAAATCCTTACACTAATATTATATATGACTATGAGATGTTTATATGAGCTTGATGGATGTTGACTTTCAATTTATTTGAAATAATGATTGCTCAATCTTTATGTAAGAATATTATAATTTATGAACTTACCCCACAGAGGAAATAAAGTCATTTATGCATCCTTAAGACATTCTTTGAGATATTGCCCGCCAGTTAGAGCAACTAGAGCAGAAAATGTATTCCTTATGCAACTTTTAGTCTTTTGAGATTTTTAAAGAATCAAAGAACATATATCATCCAAGGCTTTTAGCCTTACAAGATTTTTTATACATGTACCTTTTGAGGCTTTTAGCCTTCTAAGATTTTTAGTGTATTTGTACCTTCAGAGGTGTATGCCTTCTGAGATTTTTTGGATAATCTTATATCTTATGAGGCTTATGCCTTCTAAGGTTTTAGATATACATTTATCTTTTGAGGCTGTTGCCTTCTGAGATTTTATGTAGATGTGTTCCTTTTGAGGCATTTACCTTTAAAGGTTTTTAAATAATCTTGAACCCTCAAAGGCTTTTACTTTTTGAGATTTTTGAATGAGTGGTGAACCTGTCAACCACTTGCTCTCATGTCGTCTTTCTAGTGAGGACTTTATCTACTACTAGCTTTTTAATGGTGTGGGCTGTGATCGAATTGAGCTACATAAAGAGCTAGAGTGTAATATAAATATGCTTATATTTTCTTTTATATAAAAATAATGAGAACCCCCTAGATACACAAGTATACGTGTCGATAAAATAATAAAGTGATAGTGAAAAGTGTCAATCCCACAAGAAAGTGTTCTACTTAATTATAATTAAACAACTGCTATCTAGTTTAGATGCACGATTTAACCTACTAAATGAAAAGCAACCATTTTTTAGTTTTTGTCACTTACTAAAGACTTACAAGAAAATGAATATTAATATAAATACAATATTATAGATTAATGAATGCAAGACAATATACTTTTCCTAATAAGACTCTTTATTTTAAATGTAAATCAGAGCAGATGCATCCCTAGATCTCTATCAAGCTGGTATGGGTGAAAAAGGAACGATTACATCCTTCTTATAATTATAATATTTTCATATAACCTAGTATGTTTATCATCCTATATCTAGGTATGTTAATATTTCATTTCAATACTCCTATTTATTCTAATATTTTTTTTCATCAAGATAATATATCTCACTAGATATTAACTACATATATAACCATTGTACGCATTAAATTAAGAATGAGAGATATTGAAAATTATCTTCAAACTAATTCAAAGTATAATAGTCTGCATCAGTACTTGCTATATTTTTAGATAATTAGCTCAAAATTTAGAGATTTAACTAGAAATTGATAACAAAAAAAAAAAAAAAAAACTCATATTTATTCCATTCATATAAGAAAAAGATACATAAGAATCAATAGAGATAAATGCCACCAAGAATGATCAATTGAAGATCTACACACTCCTTTCTCCAGTAGCATAATTGCTTACACAATATAAGATAAGATCTCCAAGAGGAAGTATCTTGCACTTCCCTAGCCTCCTTTAGATTTTAATTTAAGGGAGAATTAAAGAAAGACACTTAAAAGTATAAGACTACTAAAAATGATAGAACATTATTACCTAAGAACTTAAAAACTATTTATTACAAATACAAAAATGGCCTCAGACACTATGACGCTCTAAGTGTTGGTGCTGTCGTGTTATAAAATAAACTAGCATCTTAGTGTTGTTAGGCTTGCTCCGCTGTGGTGATGTGCTGACATGGCGTAGTTAACAACTGAATTGATGCATCTTTTGGATGAGTTAGTGCGACTTCTCATTTTGATAACTGCTCCACCTCAACACTGGAAAGGTTGAGCACTATGACACTTGAAAGTGCAATCCGACGTTGCGACGCTGTGATGATCAGTGCTTCAGTGTTTAAATTCCTAAGACTCAAGTGTTGTGACTTGAATTTTTGGCGTAGAGATGCTCTGATGCAATGTGGCACTGACCTTAGCTCTACCACGGTGCCAATCTTTTTAAAATTTTGAAGCGGTCAATGTCATAATATCTGAATTAGGCATTAGGGCATTCTAGATGATAATGATGTGATGCATAATCTGTGGGCATTGCATCTCTTGTTCAACACTTATAAATTTTAGCCTTCTCCTGAATATTTCCTACACCAAACACAGCTAAAATAACACATTTCACTAAATTTTAACACCATATATAATACATAATTTATACTTAACACTTCCCTTCTAAGCTACCTCATTGGCATGCCTTCCTAGGCCTGTGATGGAGACCTTGTTTGCCACTTGCCCTCATAGGGTCGTTCTAATGAGGATCATGTCCACTACTAGCTTCCCATCGAGGCTAACTTATGGGTGTGATTTCTTAGGGTTTTTATTATATGCAATATTATTTATATAAATTTTTATTAAAAATTCAAATAAAACTTAATTGAAAGATATTAAAGTTGAAAATTCTGAAGTGTTTAAATCCTCAGTTTGAGATTGACCAGGATTTCTCAGTTTTCATATATTTTGTTTTAGTTGTTTTTTTCTTTCAAAATTTGGATAGACATGATATGGTTCTATGATTTCTTACTATTATATATGATTTATGAAGTAATGAATACATATATACATTGATATTTTGAATTATAAAATTTGTTTTTGCTATTTATTACTGATATATGATATTAGATAGCTTTGATTATTATATAATAAATGATAAAAAAAAAGAATTCTTTCAAATTAGATTTTGGGACGTTACACTTTATCACCCTCATTTTATTGTTATTGATTTTGGGATTGATTGTTAGCCATTGAAGAAATTGTTGGAAATGTTCTCATAGACGACACCAAATTATTGTGTTAGGAAAATTGAGTCGATAGAGAGTGTGTTTTACGTCTCAGCATTATATAAAAATTCAACACGTATAGACAACAATAATAAGTAAAAAAAAATTATGAGAAAAATCCGGAAAAGAAAAAAATCGCAGGGCCTGACCCATTTGAAAAATCTACTACATAGTAAGTGATTTAAGAAGCCTCTTTTCTTCACTGTTGAAGAAGCGCGTGATTAAATTAACTTCTGATTTTTCTTGATGAAGATTACATAAATCAAATATCCATAGATGGACAATTTATACCAAACACTAGGGCTTAATTTTCCTAATTGAGATTATAAAAGATAGGTGTATGCAAGCAGACAACTATATCAAATAGCATGGTTAAATCTTGTTAGTATTCTTGAGATGGTGACAATGGTGATTGTCGACAGCAATAGTCAGTGGTGATCGTCGAAGGCGATGGCTGGAAAATGCTAGAAAGCTCTCTTTAGTATTCTCTTTTCTTCTCCTTTCATATGAAGTGATGATATATTTATTGATTTTAAGAGTGACATGTTCCATAAATATGAAGTTGATCTAAAGCAAATTCATAGTGCTCCATCAGACGGTCCATATTGATTCCCTCACTTGTAGAGTGTTAGTTAAGTATTTAAGTGCCTTAATGATGTCTAAATTAAGTGATCTTAGGCTCGTTGAAGTTGAGTTAACGAGTCGCTCGATTCGATTATAAGCATTCCATATTTGGAGATTATTTGGTTATCCAATTAATATTTTGAAACTTTCAAATATGTTTTGGCCCCTTGATTTATACCTACTTGGGCTCGGATTGGATTGACTTTGGTGTCATTGCGTTCATCCCATCAAAACATTCAATTTGATTATAATTTTGCTAAAAATCTAAGTTTGGATGTTCCAAAATTAATCTTAGAAGTTTTAAAATTATAAGTGCATCAAGATTCATGCCCGGTCAAAGTGATTTTTGTTGATGTATCAATAATTAAAAAAAAAAATAATATTTGTGTAACTAAGGAACTATTGAAATTGTTTTTTAAAACTAAAAGATTAGCATTATAAATTAATAAAAAAATATTTCAATAAAAATTTGTATAAATTTAAATTATTGATTGATTTATTTTAATAATTTTATTTTTATGATTTTTGTCCAATTAAATTTTTTTATTTAAATGCCTTATAATTTGTATAATTGATCAAATATATCCCCATTATCTATTTTCATTAAAAAAATTTCTTATATAACTAATTACATCTATATGAGTAAAATCAAATCTCATTAATTTGAGCAGCTTGTTAAGATGGAATGGCGATCTCCGAGAACCGAGGTGGATTGGGGAGACAGAGTCTCGAACGCTGTTTTCTCTCTCTACCGCTCGCTTCCGAAGAAGGGAAAGCCCCAGGGGCGTGAAATCACTGTCTTGTCAGCTTTCCTTCTTTCTTCTCCATCTAATGGTATTCTTCGCCACACTCCGACTTTCCTCATCTCTCCTATTTGCCCCAGGAAAACCCTCATTCTATTTTTGGAAAACCTAATTCTTGCAGCTCTGGAAGTCGTGGCTCTCGGGACGGGGACCAAATGCATCGGAAAGTCGCTTCTTAGTCCTAACGGTGACGTTGTGAACGACTCCCATGCGGAGATCGTTGCCAGGAGAGCGCTTCTGAGGTAACCTTTTAGTACGAGCCTGAGTTCGTAGAACCATTTGGCGAAATCCGTCAGTGGCTTATCTTTTGGAGAAATTAGGTTCTTTTATTCAGAGATTGCACGGCTTGGAAACAATGGTTGTGATGACGGAAAAGGTGGCGCAAGAAATTCAAATGCATCAGATATTGTTTTTCGTTTGGATACCCAGGGCTTTAGCAATTCCAAGTATGAAATGATTCCTGGCTGGCACATACATTTGTACATCACCCAGTTGCCATGTATGTTTAGATTTCTGTGCTGAGTTTAGTTTACATTACAATGTCATTGGATGATTTCCTTCTTCTTTTGTTTTTTAATATTGATGCCATGTCCATGCACTATGGCGTTTGTTTTGCTTGTTTTTTTCCTTTAGGTGGCACATTGGACACTGCTTCATTGTCAAGAGGCGCCAAAGAGAATTCTTTAGTGGAAGGCAAGTGCGCAATTTCCATGACAGTAATTTTGTATCTTCTCTAGGAAAATTTACTCATTTGATTCCCTCATATAGAGAAATGTGTTTTGGGTTTTTAAAGATTGTCTTTTTGTTAGAACTTAAGGTATGACTCCTGTTTTGTTGATTTTGGAGCATATTGTTAGTCTTTTAAATACAATAACACATCATGCATTGTTTGCGCCTGTTTGTGTATGCTTTGGTAGCCATAATATCTGTTTTTAAGCATCAGTTTCATCCAAATTGGCACAATCTTCCAATCGTGGGCAGAGTCAGATTCTTCATTTTTTAATTTAATTTAAATTAGAGAGAGAAGGGGAGAGAGAGAGAGGGTGAGAGAGAATATATGTGGATAAACTATAATGTTTTTTTTCTTATCACGGGGCATGATGTTTTTTTTTTTGGACTTTTGAGCCAATTAAGTCAAACTCACTCAAAGACCTTTTAATTGCTAAAGCTCTCAACCAACAGATTAAGATGAGTTGTGTATGATGTTCCCTTTACTAATTTTCTCACTAAAAAAAAAGAAAAAGAAAAAGAAAAAGAAAACTTGTTTGCATAGTTAATTTATTGTTATTATTATTATTTAATTTAAATTACCTTCTTAGTTTGCATGCATCAAATAGCTGTCACTGCTCATGCTGCCTTTTTGTAGTGCTGTAAAATGCGAGATTAAAATAGCTATCTAATTCTCTGATCGACAATAGCAATACATTGTGAACTGCTATTTACAATAACTCTTGTATTTATATCCATTTCCAAGCTTACTAAAAATGGCAGTATGTTACATCTTCATGAATCCATTAACAGTCAAAAGCTTTCGTCAGTCAGAGGAGGAACTTCGATTTCCCATTTTGAATTCTTCTGTAACTGTTCAAAAGAAACCTGGACGTGGTGATGCAACTTTTTCGATGAGTTGCTTTGATAAAATAACCCGCTGGAATATTGTGGGAATCCAAGGTTTGTTTTCTGGATAACATAATATCATTTTCTTATATCTGCTACCTAGAAGTTCTTGATTTTGCATATATTCCTTTAACATTTCATGGACAATCCTTTTTTTTAAACCTTTTTATGGTTTAAATTTAACTTCCAAACAAACAATAGTTTAGTTCAAAAGCAATCTCGGTCTTCTAAAATAAATTTTGATTTTTTTCTTTGGAATTGATGTTGAATTGAAGATGATATGTATAGGTTGATTTTCTGTGTACTCTATGAGGATGGTCTCTGTCTCCCTAGTAATTTTGTTTTCGATCTGATATCTGTAACCATATTCCAAACTGTTTGGTTGATTGGTCTTGGCTTTTATCTTGAAATTGGAGGTCTTAGGTTTGAACCATAATTTATTTTTTGTTTGTATTTCGATTCCCTGGAGTTCTTTTTTTCCCCTGATACTTGTAATTAACCTAGGTTGAATCTACTCAAAGTTGGAATTGAAATCTGTGATGAGTATGTTCCAACAACGCCACCCTCAAAGCAGAATCCAAAAGAATTACATTTCTTAAGAATAGTTTTTGAAGCGTATGTTTCACTTTTTTGAACATTTAGATTGGAATGAGTTATTTGCATCATTTTCTTCATGTTTGAAAAGCACTTTGGAAGATAAAATTTAGAGGAAGATGTTGAAGTATGGAAACTAGGAATGCATTTCTTGTTTTTTCCCGTTGATTTGCAAAAAATGTTATTTTGGAGATGGTTGAATGAGTAATTGTATTTATGCTGATCCAAATAGCCAATTTTATTGAAATGTCAGCCGCCACTTAAATAAACAAACACTGAATTTCGTACATAATTGCAATTGGCTTAGCCAAATTCTGAAAATAGTGGAATTATGTAGCGGAAGTATCTAAAAATATGCCATGTAGACTAGGTTATCTAAGCACCTGAAATTTGTGATTTTCTCGAAATTATGAGTAAACATGAGATGATCTTGAATTCAGTGAACCTTATTTAGTTTGAATTTCAGGTTCGTGCCTAGTAGAGTTTTTTGTAGTGATGTATTATTGATTTTCTTAAAAAAATCTTCTAAATCTATGATGCACAGACGCATATACGTCGATATGGATACGATACGACACGGACACGGGACACGTTAATTATTGAAAACATAAGACACGAGCATGGGTTTGACACATTATTATAATTTTTATATTTAAAAAAATTGTATAAAAATTGAATAAATGTAATTTAAAAAATAATTTAGAAATAATAAGTCATTTAATTAGAATTAATCTTTAAAATAATTAATATTAGGATGTCGAGAGTCGGGCGTCGATGCCGTGTTTCAGGCATCAAAAGAGGATACGACAATACTGTTGCGAGTGGGGTATCGATGTTATGCAGTAAGTATCGGGCATCGATGTCAAGTGGGCGTTGGAACAATTTGAGCTGTCAAGTTGTGGTTGTAGAAATAGCTAGCACCGAACATTAATGTCAAGACAACGTCAGAATTTGATGTTGAGATGATTTTGTTAGACATCGATGTTGAGTTGACATTGGACATTTTTATGAAACCAAAGTCACGACCTGCCAAAGAGAAATGAAAATAAGACTATTCGACGAATGAGATATTGAGTGCGGGCGATTGATTTGATGTTGTGGATTGGAAATAAAAAATTTACTTTTATATTTTACATAAATAAAAAATTTAAATACAAGTAATTATATTTAAAAAAATTGTATAAAATATTTAAGACAAGTATGTTGGACACACTCAATATATATTTAATATTTTTTAATTATACACGTTTTCGGTGTGTCCGACACGTGTTGGATGCGTGTCGTGTCGGACACTGCACGACTTTTTGAGGAGAAGTGTGTGCATCATATTCTAGAGGGCATTGCTTGAGAACCTTTTTGGCATGAGATCTTTCTCATTCCTATCATGTCCGCTTGTGAACTGATACTGATTTTGAATAATAATTTCAGTTTTATTGTTATTTAGTTCAAGCTCAGCTGTGCAGTTGTTTATTTTTCAGGTGCTTTGCTCTCTAACATTCTGCAGCCGGTGTATCTTTCTTCCTTGACGATTGGAAAATCTATTCATGCTTTTGACGAGCTTTCTTTAACAAATCATCTAGAAAGGGCCCTTCATGATCGTGCAATTTCTTTCAACATTAAACTCTCTAATCCATTTCAACTGAAGGTCTTTTTATATTGCAAATCTAATGATTTGTTAAATATTTACATGATTATTCGTTTGGAAAAACATTTTTTGACAGTTTCCTGTTTTTGAGGCGTCTCTTCCACCAAAAGAATTTCAGCAATCGGAAAATGATGCACCTAATTTAACATGCGGGTATTTGAGCCTTATTTTTCACGCAGAATGTAGCATTTAAAATATTCTTTCTGCACTTTTTTATGTAGAATATATGACTTTTCTTTAACGATTCTTCTAATCTTAGGTACTCTATCTGCTGGAATAAATCTGGATTGTATGAAGTTATACTCGGAACAACTGGAAGAAAGCAAGGAACTTCTTCAAAAGGTTCTCAATTTCCATCAACAGAATCTTCTTTATGCAAGTATGTTATTATGGTATTATGGTTGCCATTAGATATTTTTTTGTTGTCACACTATTTAGATTTTCTCCTATATTATTCTCTAATATATATATACATTTACAAGTAATCTATGAATGCATATTTAATTAATGTAGGAGAAGGTTATTGGAAGTGTTTATGTCATTGCAACATGAAATATCGTTTGCATATACTGTGGAGGGATTTTCTTATCGTAAGCTGAAGGTACGATGTTTCCTATATTATTAATCTGATAACTGATTAAAATTTTGTTCACACCGAGCTTTTAGAGTTCTAAACTTTTCTATTGCAGTTGTATTTCCTTCATGGTCCAGCTATGTACCTGCAATTCTACTAATTAAAATAGAAAAGCTCCCCTTCCACTCCTCACAAACAAGAAATGAAAACATTGCAGACAAAAACTAAAATAGTAGCTATCAATTAAAAGATCTAGAGAATTGTCTGGAAGGTTTAAATCTCTCAGTCTCTCTAAGATTTGAGGCGCTTTATTTTTATGCTAGATTCAATTCAAAAATAAGCTTGAGATAACATGCTGTGAGTGACTAACGCTTTATTTCAAAATTTTAATTGCATTATGAACTGATATCTTCTCATTTCATTGTTTTTTGATAACATATATATATTTTTTCTTGTAGGAAATGGCTGTTGAGTATCAATCTGTTCTCAAGCTGTTCAAAGACAGCCCCCTTTTCAATTCTTGGCATCCAAAACCTCCAATCCTCGAGAATTTTATGCTTGCAAGATAATAGCTTGGAGAACAAAAGCGGCAAACATGGAAATTGAATCTTTTTCGGGTAAATTTCTCTCCTTTTCAAAGTTTTCAGAAATATTCTTACGAGAAATCTAAAATTTGGAACTAATGCCATGAAACTTGCATTTATTTATTCATTTTAATAAATAATTATAAGCATACCAAATAACCTTTAAAATTCTCAGGCAGTAGGAGAAGCCTCAGGCTTCGTTTGGTTCTGTACGTCTATTTTGGTTCTTTAAAATTCAAAAGTAAATGCTGTTAGAAAACAATTTTAAACTCTGCAAACATATTAAAATACTAAAAAACATTAATTAATTACCATTTATATAAAATCAGAAGATCTTTGATTTCAACTGTTCTATACTGTTACTCAAAGATAATATAATTATAGGTATTGTTAATAAAAAACATTCTAATGAATCTATTATCCTTGACTTCAAACATAGAACCTTTCTACTTAATTGACAATAAATTTCTAAATATAGTAAAACTTTTATGGTATTATTATATTAAATATTTAAGAAATAATATGTAATAATCAGCACCCCTTTCTCTTAAATTGTAAAGACTTGTCCCCAAGTCCAGAAGGGAGAGAGAAGAATTAGATGCAATGAAGAAAGCAAGAGATAACAAGAAAAAAAAAAAAACAAAAAGAGGGTAAAGCCAAATTAAGGGGGAGGAATCAATGAAGAGGAGACTATTAAGAAGCCATCATCTATAACAGTAGGCTTTCTCGCTCCAACACATTTTGAACTACATTCCCATTTGATTATCATGGACGTCGTAATCACTCAAGGGGAGAACCTTATTCCTAGAAACTTGAATTCGAAGGATGGAGGAACAACAAGCACAAATCTTGCAAATACTGGAAGAAGTTGGCCAACAAAGGATATCATCTCAAAATGACGAAGCTCTTCTCCCACATTATCAGCATAATATGGGTTGGCAATTTGAAAATGTTTATCGTCAGACTAATGCTCCTCCTCCATAATATGATCCAAAAATAGATGATGTTGCAAGTTCAACACATCCTCCACCTTGAGACCATCAACTTCAAAATCTTCAACCCACTCTAAAAGCTCCTTGTGATGTTATACGTGATGAGTTACGACATATTGTCGAAGAAGAGTTTTCGTAGGGATGTCAATTTTTGACACGACCCGAAACCCGACCCGAACCCGACCCGGAAAAATTCGGGTTTGGGTCAACCCAAACCCGAAACGGGTCGGGTTCGGGTTGAACAAATCAACCCGTTTTAAAAATCGGGTCGGGTTCGGGTTGACCCAGCAACCCGAAATTGACCCGAAAGTGACACGAAAACTCATATTTGACCTGAAAACCCGAGATTGACCCGTTTTTGACCCGATTTTGACCCGAAAATCGAATATTGACCCGAAAATTAGCAATGTTAGATTGTTAGGTCAACTTCGGGTCATTCGTGTCGGGTTGGGTTGACCCGGACCCAAATCGGGTCGGGTTTGGGTCCAGAAACCTGACCCGTTTTTAAAAACGGGTCGGGTTTAAAAACGGGTCAGGTTCGGGTTGACCCGAACAGTGCCGGGTCAGTTCCGGGTTCGACCCGAACCCGACCCGCTGACTCGAATTGACACCCCTAAGTTTTCGATAAGTGATAGAAACCATTTCAATCCCAGCACAGTTTCCAAGAATCATCTCCAATGACATACGAGATTCTCTTACACCCTATTTCAACAGGGTTCAAGTTACCAACCATTGATCCTTACGATGGATCATATGATACTTATGAGCGCATTGATCATTACAAGACAATCATGCACATACATCAAGCTTATGATGCACTTCTTTGTTAAATTTTCTCTGCCACTCTCAAGGGTCAAGCTCGCACCTCACTCTCTCTAGAAATACAATCCACAATTTTGCTTATCTTGCAAGGCTCTTTGTCGAATAATTTATTGCCAATCGAAGAATTATTAAGGATTCATTGCATCTCTTTAGAATTCGTCAAAACGAAGGAGAATATTTGAAAGATTATTTTCAAAAATTTTCGTCTGAAACTAAACAAATTCCAGTAGTGAATCCTGAATTCCTGCGAGGTGTTTTTCTTGGAGGTCTACGCCATGGACTGTTCTACTCTTCGCTGATGCGAGAAACAGTTCGATCCTACGCCCTCCTAATTCACGGAGTAGAGACTCAAATTACTGCTGATGAGACTATCAATGCTTATTGAAAATAGTTTGAGCAACCTTCTAATAAAAGGAAGAATGAGAACGAAGCCGGAATTGAATCCTAAAAATCCTAAAAAAAAAATAAGATCTTCCACCTCGATTCCCTCAACAAAATCGAGATTATAAACCAAAGGTGATGGGCCAAATATGATGTGATACAAGCTTGGAGTTACACAAGATTATCAAGAGAATTGAACAAAAGTTTAACCTTTATAAAGTTATGCGTCAATTCAAAGTAAGTTACAGGAATTAGTGGTCTTCCACTTGCTTAGGCAAAGAATTACGTGAAGAATAACCAAGACACTCTTAATCATACACAAAGGAGAAGTAATTTAAAAGCTTATAACACAAATCCAAAAGTTAATAATAAGATGTTCACCTTGAGGATCTACTCTCTCTCTACAGATCTAGGTTGAGCGGTGGAACATCTTCCACACTAGAAATGAAGTGGCTACTAGGAAGGACGAGCCGAGGAACGTTGTTGTTGGGAAAGGTAGCCAGAGGTGGACGCGGCACGGAACGTCCAATGAGGGACCAAGGGGTCCTTGGTCGTTGAAGATCAATGGTCCCGGCAAGGCAATACACGATCCGGTTGACATAGTGTTCAACAGTGACGTCGTACTCCCAATCCGGTTCGTAGAAAGGGGAGAGGAAGATGTCAATCTCTCTTTGTTCGTTGTAGGTGAAGCCGTGATCAACTTCCAGATCGGCCATGCACGGTAATCATGGGGGATGAAGGACCACGAGAAGGAAGATCAAAGAGAGAAGAAGGGTGGAGGGGGGAGGCCGTCGGCTGGGCTAGAAGGGGAAGGTGAGGGGACGGTTTGGAGATGTGGGAAGGGGGCTAGGGTTTGGGAGAAAATAGGTTAGGGTGGGGGGTGATGTGGTTTGATCAAAATTCTAAAATTAAGATTATGTTTTGATTAAATTGAGAGGGAAGACTTTTTGAAATTCGATTCCAAATTGAATGCAATTAAGGCATTAATGGAGGCTTAATGGGGTGGAGCCAAAGAGGGGCCGGCGGTATGGAGAGAGAGGGGTGAGGGGGTTTAAAATTGAAATTAATTTCAGTTTTAATGAGGCTGGGGGGGAAAATATTTGAAATCAATTTTGTATTCCAAATAAGGGTGAGGGAGTAATTGAGCAATTAATGGGGGAGTCCAATAGAGGCGCCGGTGGCATCATGAAGAAGGGAGAGGATTTGGGAGAAGGTGGGGAGGTTTCCAAATAAGTAATGAATATTAGGAAAGAATAAAATAAACCCACTTTGATTTATTTTGAAATTGGATTCATGAATAAAACTTTCCTAATTTGGATTTTCTCTAAATGGAAAGAATTTGAAATTCGAAATTCGAAATTTGAATTTCGAAAATTGAAGGTTAGGGAGAGGAGGGCCGGTGGGTGGATGACTGGAGGGATGGCGAGCCGGTGGGTGGGAAGGTGACCGACGGCTTGTGAGCCCAAGTAGGCCGGCGGCAAGGAGAGGGGGGCTCGGGTTCTCCAAGGAAGTTGTGGGGTGAGGATTTCTTGAGGGAGAAGAAGAACAAACGAAGTATATGCAGAAAGTAAAGCCACGAACCTCAACACCATATTCACTAGAACTCACAAAGAGATTCAAGTTGCTCTCTCCTCAAGAATTCACAAAGAGATTTAGGGGAAGTTTTGTAACTCACAAAGAGATCAACATGAGAAAATTTTCATTCATCAATAATAATCCAATACATAAGAAGATGACTATATATATAGTCCTCAAAATGACAAATAAAACAAAAGATTAGAATGCCTCTTGGGCTACAATTGCTACCAACTATTCATAAGGGCAAAAACGGAAAACTAAAATAAAAATAATTAATACATAAAATGCATCAAAAGTAAAGACTCTCCATCATGGCCATTGATCTTCTGTGTCACCTCTGATAAACGCGTTGAAATCTCTTGTCGATGCCCCCATCATTCTTCATGGGTGGGAGAGAACTCGACCTCGTCGAGTGAGTACTGTGGGAGCTCTTGTATAACTCTAGAAGGTCTGGATCCAATCTCGGTAGCTCCTCTCGATCAATCAACGTGTCTTCTATTTCCGGTGTTCCTTTCCAATGAACTAGGTACCTTCGGCCCGGAGTGTTTTCCTCCTGTTTATGTAAAGAAGTTGCATGCAAGAAGCGCCGGATCTTTTAAGATAATTTCAAAGGTTAACAGTAATGCTTATGTGCTGGACCTCCTAGGAGGTTTTAACATAAATCCAACTTTTAATATAGAAGATCTAGTAGCCTTCGAGGGTCCTGAATTTAACCCCAATAATCCACTTTATAATGAGCCTTGTGTGACCCCACCTGGTGAGATCCCTAGCCTCCCTCCACTCCCCAATTTACCCCATTTACCCAATGCGGAGAAGATCGAAACCATCCTAGATGATGAGATTATTTCCACAAAGGAAGGAGGGCGTCGAAGGTACCTAGTTCATTGAAAAGGAACACCGAAAACAGAGGACACGTGGATTGATCGAGAGGAGCTACAGAGATTGGATCCAGACCTTCTAGAGCTATACGAGAGCTCCCATAATACTCACTCGATGGGTTCGAGTTCTCTCCCACCCATGGAGAATGATGGGGACATCGACAAGAGGTTTCAACGCGATTATCAGAGGCGACATAGGAGATCAATGGCCATGATTGAGAGTCTTTACTTTTGATGCATTTTATGTATTAATAATTTTATTTCAGTTTTTCGTTGTTGCCCTTATGAGTAGTTGGTGGCTATTGTAGCCCAAGGGGCATTCTAGTCTTTCGTTTTATTTGTCATTTTGAGGCCTATATACATAGCCATCTTCTTATGTATTGGATTATTGATGAGTGAAAATTTTCTCTTGTTGATCTCCTTGTGAGTCCAAAACTTCCCCTAGATCTCTTTGTGAGTTCTTGAGGAGAGAGCATATTGGATCTCTTTGTGAGTTCTAGTGAATGTGGTGTTGAGGTTCGTGGCTTTACTTTTTGCATATACTTCGTTCGTTCTTCTTCTCCCTCAAGAAATCCTCACCCCACCACTTCCTTGGAGAACCCGAGCCCCTCTCTCCTTGCCGTCGGCCTACTTGGGCTCACAAGCTGCCGGCCACCTTCCCACCCGCCGGCTCGCCATCCCTCCAGTCATCCACCCACCGGCCCTCCTCTCCCTAACCTTCAATTTTTGAAACTCAAATTTCGAATTTCAAATTCTTTCCATTTAGAGAAAATCCAAATTAGGAAAGTTTTATTCATGAATCCAATTTCAAAATAAATCAAAGTGGATTTATTTTATTCTTTCCTAATATTCATTGCTTATTTGGAAACCTCCCCACCTTCTCCCAAATCCCCTCCCTCCTTCATGATGCCGCTAGCCCCTCTATTGGGCTCCCCCATTAATTGCTCAATTACTCCCTCACCCTTATTTGGAATCCAAAATTGATTTCAAATATTTTTTCCCCCAATCTCATTAAAATTGAAATTAATTTCAGTTTTAAACCCCTTCACTCCTCTCTCTCCATACCGCCGACCCCTCTTTGGCTCCACCCCATTAAACCTCCATTAATGCCTTAATTGCATTCACTTTGGACTCAAATTTCAAAAAGTTTTCCCTCTCAATTTAATCAAAATATGATCTTAATTTCAGAATTTTGATCAAACCACATCACCCCCCACCCTAACTTTTTTTCTCCCAAACCCTAGCCCCCTTCCCACATCTCCAAACCGTCCCCCCACCCTTCCCCTTCTAGCCCAGCCGCCGGCCTCCCCCCTTCACCCTTCTTCTCTCCTTGATCTTCCTCCTCGTGGTCCTTCATCCCCCATGATTATCGTGCATGGCCGATCCAGAAGTTGATCACGACTTCGTCTACAAGGAACAAGGAGAGATTGACATCTTCCTCTCCCCTTTCTACGAACTGGATTGGGAGTGCGACGTCACCGTTGAACGCTACGTCAACTGGATCGTGTATTTCATTGCCGGGACCATTGATCTTCAACGACCAATGACCCCTTGGTCCCTCATTGGACGTTCCGTGCCGCCTCCACCTGCTACCTTCCCGACAACGACGTTCCTCGGCTCGTTCTTCCTAGTGGCCACTTAATTTCTATTGTGGAAGATCTTCCTCCTCTCAACCTAGATCCGTAGAGAGAGAGTAGATCCTCAAGGTGAACATCTCATTATTAACTTTTGGATTTGTGTTATAAGCTTTTACATTACTTCGCCTTTGTGTTTGATTGAGAGTGTCTTGGTTATTCTTCACATAATTCTTTGCCTAAGCAAGTGGAAGACCACCAATTACTGTAACTTACTTTGAATTGACGCATAACTTTATAAAGGTTAAACTTATGTTCAATTCTCTTGATAATCTTGTGTAACTCCAAGCTTGTATCACATCAAAAGGAGTATACTCCACTGAATAAAACTCGTGTTAATATTCTTATGGCTATACAGAAAATACAAAATGTTAAATGACCCAATGCATTGAAGCTAAATACTGAAAATCAAGATTATTATTATCACTTTCATTGAAGCCGAGCACATGCGACTGAAGCTTGCTGACAATTGAAGAAAGAAATTGAAAGGCTGATTCAACAGGGATATATTCGTTCCAAACTCGACCTGAAACCAAATTTTGACAGCCCTAGTTGAGCCATCAAGCAAGTTGTTAATTGGGGTAACAAAAACCCTAAAGAGGTTAGATTGTTAGTTTTAAATAGAAAAATTAGCAATAAGAAAAAAAGAAGAAGAAAAATGAGCAATTTATTTAATAAATTATTTATATGTTTTTAAGAATATGAATGAATAGGAGTATAAGTGAGCTAGGTCGGCTCGCGACCTGGCTCTAGCTTGACTCGTTAACAAGAGTCATGAATTTGAGCTCGACCCTATACTCAAGCTTATATACTAAACATGCTTGAGCTCAAGCTCAGTTTAGCTCCACTCGAAAGCTCATTGAGCTGCTCAATTAATTTAAAATATATTTAAAAATTAATTTAAATTATGATTAAATTTTAATATTCTAAAACTAATTATGTATTAAAAATAAAAATTCTAAAAAAGAAGAAGAAAATTTTAACTTAATAATTTAAAATTGAACTTTACAATCGAGTTAAGTTTTAGCTTTTCAAACGAGCTGGAGCCTATGATTTTTAACAAGTCAAGCCCGGTCTTAGTAAACAACCTCTAGCTTAGTAAGAATTAAATAAGACTTATTTAGTAAACTTAATTTTATTAGGCACATACTCGACTCGATTCACTTACATCCTTATTAATGATTAAATATAATAATTTTATATGAGCATAATTCATGAATTTGGTGGCTAAACTCTTCCTATTTTCCAATTAAAAAATTGTGCAAATTGGTAAAACTGGTGGAAGCCATTGACAAAGCAGGACGTAAAGTCATTAACGAAGAACTGAAGATGAACTATATATACGACAATATGCTCCATCTTCTTACTGAATACTCAAAGCTCTTAACCTACAAACCAACTAAGCCTTAGGAGCCATTGAACTCTGCTTGGAATCAGTTGCTTGTCCCTTCCAGGGGAAGGTGAGAGACTCTCTCTTAGAATCCAGATAAATAGAGCCGAGTAACTCAGAGCCTTGTTCATTACCTCCTTTTAGTACTCAAGAGCTTAGCTAGTTGCTCAGTAAGAAGATTAATGACACAAACGAAGTAGTGGAGAGTTTGATGAAGAAAAGCTTAGGAAAGAGAGTTGATTTTGCTGGGGAGTTATGGGGTTTCTTATTGTTAATATTAGTTCTAATTTTTTTTGGGTTAGCAATAGGGGTGTAAGTGAGTCAAGACGGCTTGTGAGTCAGCTCGAACTCGGCTCGCTAATGATCTTGTGAGTCGAGCTTATCGATTTTTGAGTTCGAGCTTTTAGTCAAGCTAGTATAATATACGAGTTTGATTTCGAGCTGAGCCTGACTTGACTCAAACTCATCGAGCAGCTCGATTGATGAAAAAATTCGACTGAACGACCCATAGGTCCCACATCGTCTACTCCGAAGCCTTCCCTATAAGGTATCTCTTTTATGCCCTAGCTCTATTTTACAATTCTGGAGAGCTTGCGATTTGTGATGGCTGCGAGTTGCATTTGTGCGAGAAGGATCTCCTTCCGTGCCCTAGAGCGACGACGAGTGATTTCTTGGGTAAGAAAATATAAGGAGCTCTATTGCTCCAACAAGTGATTGCCCTGAAGCTATTTAAGTTTTTGTCCACTGAAGATATATAAGTTTTTGTACACTGTTATTTTCTTCAATTGGATTCGAAAAATTCGAACTCTCTATGACTTTATCTTGTTATATTATGTGATTCTCCTCTATTATCTCATTTTGGTGCTTTGCTATTGCGGCCTTTTGTTTCTTCCAATTGCTGTTTGATTTTATATCCATTGAAGGTTTGGTAGGATTGTATTTTTCGCCGTTGACAATGATGTTGTTCCTTTAATAAGCAAACCTTCTCTCCTTGGAAGGTCGATTGGCAACCAGGGGAGTGGGATGCTATGGTGGCTTGCTGCTGTTGACTTGAACATACAGTTTGTAATGTTGATAGGTATTGTTGGTTCTACCCTGAGTCTTGCTGCTTCTGAGTTGAACATACATGATACAACCACTGGACTTGAATACATGATATGTTGTCTTGCTACTGTTTCTTTTTGAGTTTCGATTCTAGTTCATCTTGCCGTTGGACTTTCTAAATTTTAAGAATTGGTGGGATTCTATTATTTTCCGTGGACAATGATGTTATTCCCTTAACAACCAAGCCTTCTCCTTGGGAGAAGGTTGTTTGACAACTTAGGGAACGAGGGGCGCCTGCTGAAGTGTTGATTATACCTGATTGATTAATTTTTTCTAGTTATGAATCTTAGCATTCATGTTTTTAATGATGTTAAGTTTAACTCAGTGCATGTATGTTCAACTTAGTGGCTATATGTTGAAGTCTGGATGTATGTTCAAATCCTTTCAATGTTAGTGGTTTTATGTTCAATTCAGTGGTTGTATGTTCAATGTAGTAGCTGTATGTTCGATTAATGGAGTGCTTGTTCAATCATCCTAAATAATTATTCGGCCTATTTTTTCATGTTTATTTCGAAGTTCAACCATCAATGGTTCTAATGAGGAAATATTCAAAGATTTTTGTAATTTGTGAACATTTTGCTATGACTTTCTTATGTAATGTTGTTAAAAGTTGTAAGATTTCTAATTATATTTTATAAGATGTTGTAAATGTATTTATATACTTGTGAAGTCTATAGAGTAACTTTTATTTCATTTTGCTTTGAGATGGTTTCGTAATTTGATAATATTTTACACTTCTTTGAAGTGAAAATCAATATTTTAGTTAAAAGTATATATTTCCTTAAATTATAAGTATTATTTACCAAAAGAAACTTAAATTCTAAATTTATAACAGTAAAATTCTAACTCATAAATGAGCCAAGTTTAAGCTTTTTAAACTAGTCAGCCACGCTAGAACTTTTCTTTTTGCAACGAGTTAGTTCGAGCTCACTAAATAAGCTTGAGATGAGTTAGAGTTCAAGCTTAGTCTTACGCTAAATAAGCTCATCTCAATAATACTATTACTCGAGTCAACTCATTTACACCCTTGCTTAGCATTTTTTGCTTTAAATGGCAGTGAGTGTAGGGGTATAAGCAAGTCAAACTCATCACGAGCTGGCTCAAATTCAACTTAATAAATGATTTTTGAGCTGAGCTCTATGATATGTTATTTTCACCTCTAGCTAAGTGCCTTATTTATGTTGCAATTTTGTAAGTGTTAGAATAGGTTAAAACTTTTGACAAACTTATGCTATATTATCTTAGATTTATCTCTTATTTTTTTAATTAATTTTTATAATAAATTTATTTTCTATTATTTATTGTGGATGTTAAAATCATACAAGGAGCCATATGATTCAATGAAATTTGCTTTGTCAAGAAGAAGAAAAGCCATTACATCACACAATTTCCTTTTTGATTGAAAAAAAACTCAAAAGAGAGACTTCTTAAGCCCTCAATATTAAGGCTATAAAACGATATAACTAAGATTTTCCTCTTCCCACAAAACACTTTTTGACTGCTTTCAATTCAACTAAAACAAATAAAACAACCAGATTATTTCACATTTGAAATGTGGAAAAGCTTTTAAAAGTACTATTTGGATAGCATTAACAAACAGATCTCAGTGTTTACGAGAAAAATGATTATCATTTGGGTTTCTCTTTCCACCAAACAATGCAAGGGCTTTCCTTACAGGAGGCTTCAAAGGGGCTCTCTTCTCACTGACATTGGAGAAGATGTCATCTACACACAAGCAATCTTCATCCTGACCAAATGAAAAGAACATAAGCAAAGTCTTTTATGTGAAGGAAGTAACATAAAGAAGAAGAAGAAGAAGAAGAAGATAAATTTCACCTTATTGTTTGGCTTCTTCTTCATTTTGGGGTAAAGAAGTTTGTGAGGGAGTTGATCTTCTCTCAAGATTAGATTCTTTGTGATGGCATCCCTTCCACCTTGTGGCAAGGGAAGTGAAAACTGCCAAATTGTGAATTTTAGATCACCAATTACATGGATTACATTAAAAAAAGCAAGAACATGAAGGACAATAGAAGAGTGTTCAGTAGCTCTTGGCTTATGCTTTAAATGAATCAGATTGTTCAGAATCACAAAGTTTAGGAATGAATATCAAGCTATCTACCTTCAGCAACAATAAAGATCCTTTGTTGAAACAATAGGGAAGCTATAAATCAGGATTATCACAGCATTTAGCCCCAGGAATGCTGACCACAAAAGGCAAGAACAAAATTGCATTCCACATTCATAACTACAAGTAAAATCTGAACTCTTATCAAGAAAATTATATATATACAACAGGTACTAAGCTTGCTACTTAGATGACATAGTTGATTGTTCTTGTACAAAAAGAAACTATAGCTTCCAAGGAACTTCAAAAAGAATGGAAATGCACTCCACAGAGAGATCTTCATAAAAATTGCATGATTTATAACATTTGCAAAGAGAAAAATTGTCAAGACTTTTAGGCTTCATCTGGGACAACGGTAGACCACTGCATTTTTCCAACTTAAAAAAAACTTGTACTGAAAACCGCTTTATAAAGCGGTTAGAAAGTTGTCCTAAACAAAGCCTTAGTTCCCCTAAAAAGATTTTGTTGCTTTTGATGTTGAATGAATTTAAACTTATAAGTTGTATATTATTGACTACTATAACCAACTGAAGATCAAAATGGCTGAAAAAGAAAAATCACATACTAATCTGAAATCTAAGACGGCTAGATAAATCCAGTTAAGACCCTAGTCAACGTTCAGATGATACAGATGTGTTTTTTGATTCAATTATTTTGAAGGATGACTAGGCCTTGTCATCTGTTCAGAAGGAACTGAACAGACCTAAGTACACAATTCTTGAAGGGTGAGAAGTTTCCTTCTATCAATAAACTTGCATAGACTCATTCCAACTGCCATTAATGAATTACATGGAATCTAATTTTAAAGTTTGTTTAAAAGGAACTACATAGAACTAAGTTTCCAGTCATGGAAGTGTCAACATAGACTCCAGCATATATTTTATGAAGTTATTTCATATTCAAAGCTTTCAACAACCTCATAAAAATATGAAATAACCATAAAAATTAGAAGTTTTAGAACTGTAAAAACATGAGAGGTCTTCCACCTTAAGATATATGAACTGGAAATGTCTGGAAGATATCCTAGTGATAAAAAAAAAAGGAAATTTACCTTTGTCCCACGAAGAATAATACGCGGCCTGCGAGACGCAAGGAGAATCCCATTCTCACTGACAGTCACTGATACCTTGCGTAAGGTGCCTCCATTGCCACACTTTGGGCAAAAAATTTTCCCAATTTCTTGAGTTACATTATTGCAAGCATGACATTTTAAGACCCACCTATGAAGTTGGCGAATCTGCATTCCTCCTGGTGCAAGGAGACGAAGACCAATCTGGAGAATAACATTTTGCATGGCATAATCACTAGTAATACAGGCAACTGTTGAATCTGACAAAGATCTCATCATCCAACTTTGCTCACTGCTAGCATCATCAAAAAATGATGGATGCATACTTCCATCAGCATTACTAGAAACTTCCAAATTTTCTGCTAGATTCTCACATATGTCATTTTCATTTTCTACAGCAATGCAACCATTATCCAAATCATCTCCATCACTTAAACTATGGTCATCTTTAACTTCTATATTGGTGATGACATGATCTTTCTGTTCTTGCATAAACTCAGAATTATCGGTACTTAATGAAATTTGCTCAAAGACTGGACATACAATATTCTCCACAAAGTTACTGTTCTCCAACTCTTCATTCTTAGAAGGCTCATTTCCAATCTGCGCATCATTGGATACTTCATGCTTAGAAGAATCAATAGAACCTCGGCTATCCTCGGAGGTGGCTGCATGACCTCTGTTTGTACAAGCAATTGCGCTTGCTTCCTCTACAGGATGTTCATCAACCATGGCTTCCAATCTTGACTCACGTCTGGCCTTTCTTCTCAAGTACTTCCTGTGAGTACTGCGGCTAACAGCAGGGTGCCAATCATCAAAATCATTAACATCCTCTCCCTTGGAGGCATCAACCCCACCTGCAACCATCTTCTTTCCTTCAATTTTGATTTCTCTCTTTGGAAAATTAAAATTTCTGGGTCTAAAAACAGTCTGATTCTCATATTGCTGCTCTGTAGGCTGGGAAGCAGCCTCAGTTGCCTTAAGAACATTATCATCTAGGTCTTTCAAAGGAAGTATCCGGGAATTCCCCATCGATCCACCCTCAGCAACTTGCTCAAGAGCCTCCCACTCAGCCAAATTAGGCACATTATCACCCCATCCAGGCATTTTAGCCTCTGGAAGGCTTTTTACATTGACAACATGAAGCATGGGTGGACTGTCCCTTAGATGATTGGTTCCATGGATCTGAGCCTCCAACATATACGTTAGAGCTATAAGCTTAAGATCAACATCCGATAAAGTGTGCAGATCTCCAGTCTCCCTTGCAAACTTGACAACTGCATAAGTGGAAAAATAATTATATTATAAGTAATTCATGAATAAACTAAAAGCGCCACAATCCAATGGGCTGATTTGACAAGTATGAAATAATACAATAGGTTACAAAGTTATCCAGTACCCGTAAATCATCAATTAGTAGAATAGTATATCGAATAATTTTAGGAAATACCACATAATCCAAGAAAATTTCGATAGATACATACAGAAAGGCCTAACCTTTCTTGATGGCGTCAGGAGATGGCTCCATAGTCTCGACAAAGAAAGGAAGGTGAGCGACTCTCTGACGAGAAACCGGATCCCTAACCTCCTCCAAAACCTCCCTCACCGATACGAACTTGTCGGCGCAGCCAGATAACTTATCGCCGTGAATGATAGCGCTGGCGTCCAGAACGGCGACGGAGATTCCCTTGCTCGATTTGCAGTCGCTGAAGACGCTGTTTGAGAGAGGAGTGGCGGGTGGGGGTTTCTTCTGAACTATCGTGCTCCAGCAGGAGGCCGGCGCTGGCTGGTCAGGATGAGCAGTTGATGGAGGAGGAAGTGGCGGAGGCGGCGCTTCCATCGGTGTTCAAAGCTAGAAGAGTTGAAGCTGCGGCGGCGAAGGGCGTCTGTGAGAGAGGGAGAGAGAGAGCGCTACTTAGGGTTTTGATTTCTCGCCGCTGAAACACCAAAGAGTCGGCGTAAATACCGACAGATAGATTACAATTTTGAGGGGGCTTAGCACGAATTTTTGCAAATTAATACCTCCAATATTTGACTATTTATATTTTTTATATAATATTTACTTTTAAATAATATAAATATATCACTGCTTGAGGACGGCGCGAATTCTTGTACATTTAATACAACAAAAATTTCAATATTTATATTCATATAAATTTATAATTTTTAAATCACTGAAAATACATATGTCAAAATATAATTTTATTTTACATAATAAAATAAATTATGTTTTGATGTATTTATTTATGTGATATAAAAATTAAAATATTATGCTAATGAATATATGAATTTAAGTATTAGATGTAACATACAAAAAATATATATATTACATAATTCTTACTTCCCAACATTAATTCATTGGAAAATTTGAAAAATATATATTTTTTGAAAATATTTAGTTTTATTATGAGATAGCTATCACATTAACATAATATTTATAATTTTATTATATTATTATGAGTTATTTGTATAAATATTTTGGTAGCTTTATCTCCTTTTGCAAAAAGGTTGAATTTTTTACTAAAAAATTAAAATTTTTTTAATCTAAAATGATGAAAATAATAAAATTTTGACTGAAAAATAGACAAGTTGGGCATATCATCTTTTTTTTTTTTGGGATATTAAGTGAATAGGTTTTAAGTAATAATTTTTTTTTATTAAATATACAAATATAAGCATAAAATAATTGATCCATCGAGATTTATTTGGTAAAATTTTCTTACAATTTTTCAAAAGAATTTTTTAATATAATTTTTTTGAAAACAATGAAAAAATAATATATTATATAAAAAAATGATGCATTTAATGAAAATCTAATAAGGAGAGGCATAGAAATTCCAAATTATAGCCACAATAATTTAGAACCTCCTAGATTAGATTGATCAAGATCATGAACACAATTGTAAACAAAAGAAATAACAAATGCACTTTAAATGATGTTCTCAATGGGAATTTCTACCTCAACCATTGGACTATTGCTTCAAACCCTAATATTTTTCTTCCTATAAAGCCCTTATCATCAACTGTTAGATGCTACTTCATCTCACAGAGAGATCAATGAAGAATCTTCTCTGTTTTAGAGACAAACTTCTTGATCTCTCTTCTTTAGATGCTTCATGACAAGTTGATTCATGGCATAGATGTTAGAGTAAATGAATTTATCAAATGGCCAATTTTTTCTGGCTCTAAAAAAACATTAAGATTTCATATTAAGATTTCATTTGGGATGACTTTCTTCCTGCTTCTTAAAATAATTTTATAATACAAAAAATAAAATTTTTATATTAGAAAACTATTTTATGAAGCAATAAAAATATTATCCCAAAATAAAGCATCAGATAGTTTTTTTAGGATTTGTTTGGGATGGCTTTATTATTACTTCTTAAAGCAGCTTTCTAATAAAAAAATTTGAATTCTTATACTAAAAAGCTACTTTAAAAAATAATAAGAAAGCCATCTCAAACAAAAGCTTAATCAAAATTTCAATAGCCAGTACCATCAGGACTTAGGTATTGTTTGGAACAGCTTTCTTACTGCTAAGGCTTCATTTGGGATGACTTTTTTTTTTCTGCTTCTTAAAGCAACTTTATAGTATAAAAATTTTAATTTTTGTACTAGAAAACTGCTTTATGAAGCAATAAGAAGCCGTCCCAAATGAAGCCTAAAGTAACTTTTCAATATAAAAATTTATTTTTGAAAAAAAAATATACAGCAAAAATTTAAAGTGCAAAAAGAAAACGGTTCCAAACCAAACCTTAATTTTTCTACAGCCTTCACATACCAGGATATAAAAATTGCAGAGAAAAAACAACTCTTTAAAGCATTTCTGATTGGCTTCAACAACATAAAGAACTATCAAAAAACAAAATATTTTCCCCATCGGGTTTAAACGAAGAATAATGATTTTATACAAAAGAACACTTTGTTTACATGAATTAATATCTAGCCTCTCTTAAACTTTTAACTACTCTATCATCTCCTATTTCCACCTCCGCTCAGAACAAAATTATCTTGTTTGAACTGTACAAATGTTCTCTGCCACTGCTCTAACCAGCTCTTAAGAGTCCCTGCCCTACTCGCACAAGAGCAGGAAAATTGTATTACCACGAGCTTAGAGATTCAGAGAAGCTTGATTGCATCTGGTTCTGATATTTAAAATTTTCCATACAAATTTACAAATCTTCCTTTTCATGTACGTTAAGTTCTTTCAAATTTTGATTAAATGATCCAAAGAGGCAAAGATGAAGCAATGAAAACTCAATTGAATGGATAAGACACAGTGCTCTACTTCATAAGCCCACCACCTTCCCAACCAAGCTTAAGCATTTGATCCACGACCTTCAAGCTCAACTGCAAGGAAAGGAAAGAAGTTATATTCAAAGAATCTTATTGGTTATGAGCAAAAAATTAAAGATCAAAGGAGTTCAGAAGTCGTAAATTCAGATGCTGGATTATCGAAGCAATTAGCAAGCATGTAAACTTAAATATCACCAAGCTTTAGTTTTTTTAGTTTATTTTTTGATAAGAAGTATGGCAGGAAAATTGGTTTAAATTTATGTTGGAATGTGCCATAGAAAGAGGTAAAATGAAAAAAAAAAGGATTTTTATAACTATTGAAAATACATATTTAATATCTAAACTTCTATATTTACTAATATACCACCTAAAATCTCATTTTTCCTTCTATTCTACCACTCCATTGAAGCGATGAGATACTTGTATTCACTGTGAAAGGATGCCATTGACAGGGAAGACAGTCGTTGATAGTGATTTTTGACGGAACGTTTAAACGGAATGTTAGAATTGATTAAAAGAGAGGTTTTAGATGGTATATTAATAAATATAGAAGTTTAGATACTAAATATGCATTTTCAATAGTTTTAAGTGTTATGTATGTAAAAATAAAACCATAGACAAAGACTCACCGCTGGGTCAGTGAAGACTATCAATTGCTTATCTGCAGTTGAAACAAGTAGATTGGTGTTGTCCTCGTTTAGAGATATAGCAGTGACATCTTGACCTTCAGCAAGGTTCAGCCTATGACAAACCTACAACATTTTAAAGCAATAATTACTCATAAATTCTAACATGTATTAAAAAAAAAAAAAGCAATGCATCAAGAGTTATATTTTTTAGTACCTCCAGAGTATGCAAATTCAGGAAGCATATTGAAGGCACAGGAATTGCTATTCTTCTTTTGGGTTTCACAACTGCAGATGAATAACCTGCTTGAAAATCAGGTTTGTAGTTTTGCTGATTAGCACTGGAAGATGTCCCAATGAGTGCATATTCCCCATCAGCAGAAACAGAAATACAACTAATACTGCCCGGGAAAGGGAAATGTGAAATGGCTACTGAAGCGACAGAAATGCCATTAATGGTGAAGGTGCTGATTATTTTATCTGACTTGCTATAAACTATGACAAGCCCCTGAGAAGAGAGGCAGACTGAATCTGCCTCAACTGATAGCTTCCGAATCAGGCGACCTCTCCTCAATGAATGCAAAAGAATCTGACTGGAGTAAGAACAGGAAGCGACGATACCAAGTTCAGAACTGACAGAACAAGATATTATCTCGCCAAGATGACCTCTTAAAACATCTACAGGACCCTCAATTCTGCATTTCTTGCTCTTATCTGCAGGACTGTTGGGGCTAGTACTAGTTGCAAGAGGAGACGAGGGTGATTTTTCTGTAGTAATGGATGGATCCAAAGAATTTCTACGAGGTAAAGGAAACGATCTATGTATTTTCCAAAGTAAAACTGTTGCATCACGAGATCCAGTAACTAAATAGTTGTTATCAGAGGATAGAGCAAGACAAGTTACAGGAGCATTATGCCCTCGTGCAGTTTCAATGGTCTTAGCTAAATCTGCTGATATGACCTTGATAGAATTATCAGCATGCCCTCCTAATAAAGCATATCAAATAAATACTCAGTATCAAGCAACCATATTATGACATGATAGTAAAATTTCATTAAAAAAAAAAAGCCGATTATAACACAGGCCACAGAGCAAGTTAGCAAGTCCTCTCCACAGGTTGGGAGTTGGTGGATTAAGAGAAACACGAATTATAAAATATAATTGTTATGTAACATCATGATTAAAAAGATGCAAGACAATTTGAGGCTTATGGTACCAAAGCAAATCAAGGATGTCATGCACAAAGAAATGCAAATAAGACAACAATTCATAGTTTCCCAACTTCTATTTTAGGCAAATATTAAGTTTTTTATGCAAAACTAGAAAACATATTTTATTCAATTCCAATTGATCATATAAATGCCACTAAAATCAAAACATTCACAAAAAAAAGAAAAGAAAAAGAATGAACATAAAACTCCAAGAATGGAGCTACAGAAAAGAATTCTTATAGAATTGAAGTTTGGTGAATACAAATGAATCATTCTATCGTTTGAGAAGATCTTGCGTCAGTGGGTGGTTGACAGTGGGGCAAGTCGGCCTTGTTAGTCGGTTAGAGGTCAACAAACACTAATCACTAACTAAACAAAAAACTTAAGTTCCTACGTTAAGCTTCCGGAACATGCACTCTCACAAGAAATACAATTTGACCAAGTGAGAACTAAACAAATGATGCTGTCTTGGAACAAAAATACACAAACAGTGCAATCATATCATATTTTAGAAAATCAATGGAGACACTAGTTCTCGAACCAAATACTTCAAGCAATGATTGGTTATAATTGACTGTCCTACAACCTTGAGCTCCAGTTATAGCCCAAGAATATGTTTTTAATGAATTTCCAAATACCTCAAGGAGCATAACAAGAAGAAAATGACAAAGACGAGGAACAAACTGATAACGTTAATCTGTTGCAGGTCTTCTTATGCTCAATATTCACCCAATGAAGCATCAGCACAAAAGGGGAGCAATATAATTGCAAAACTGTCATATTTCCACTATTAACATAGCCAGGAAAAATTTCGACAATAAACCTAAATTGAGTTTGAAAGGTGACACAATATACTACTAGTAGTTTAATCGCCATGGTTTCACCACAGAACATCAGTTAAATGTAGATAACTTCATGGAACCTGAAAAACAAAATGGAGTATCTGAAAGGAGGAACCTACCAGTAATAATTTCTTTGTCATAAGTAACTACAACTACCGCCGAACTCTGGATTCCTGATGCAGCAAATGCCAATGCTCGGGGGAATTGCCAGTCTTCTGAGGCAGAACCCCCTGAACCTCTAAACATGCGCATAAATGCACTGCCGGTGGAACTAGCTGCAGGCTTTCCATGCTGAAATAGAAAAGGTGTTCCCTGACCGTCAGGAGTATTGGGTTGCCATTTGTGCATTGCCACACGTGCCACAGGGACATTCATATCTACAACTATAATGGAGTCTTGGGACGCAAGAATAGAACAAGCAGGTACATTGCAACGATCTGGGTTTGGAACAACATATGGCTTCACTTCATTGGGGTTGCGGAAGATAGTCTAAAAACAAGGGGAAAAGAGAGTAAGAGAGATGATTATGACTTCAGAAAAAAAAGGTCATAATCCTATCCATCATCTTTTCAACTTAATTCTCATAAAACTATAAAATTAATGCAATAACTACGTTAGACAGTTGTTAATATTCCCTGCTACAATTGAATGAAAGACTCACAGAAACCGCAACCTACGACAGCTTCAATTGAAGGAAAAAACTTAAAAGCGCAACTATGTCAACACAGCGCAAGTTACAAAGTTGAGAAAGATAAAAAGTCCAACTATTTATTTGCAGCTAAAATTAGGACTTGCTGTGTTTTAAGCGCAAAACTAGTTATTAAAGAAAATTGCATACTGCTAGAGAAGTTATTCTTCCGTTAGATGTCTATGTCTATTTCTATGACATAACAAACCTCAAGGTGCAGAACATCTTTTATTGACATCCTCTTCAAGTGTGGGGTTGTTAATAACTGGGACGGGGTTTGCCCGAAGAAGGCAATCTGATCTTGAGTAGCACGTTGTTGTACCTTCCATTTTATTTAATAACGACTGTTAGGAATAATTGAATTTCTGAAAATTAGTAAGTAGTGATATTTACGACTTACAGAGTCAGTAATTTTATCAATATCAACTGCACCCTCATATGTGATGTAGAAGAACATGTTATCAGCTTGAACAGCTTCTTTACCGCGTTGCTTGTATCTGAGAAATTATATTACAGATTTCAAGATTAAAATGGCACATATAAGACCCAATTAAAGAATACCGACTATAAAGGTTTAATTTTAGAAGATCAGGGTGCAAACCGTGCAATAGTGGCTTAATAGAGAGCATGATTTTGAAAACCAGATCAAACTGGCTGGTTCGGTCGGTTAAACCTGAACTGATCATATGGCCAAATCAGTTCATATTAAAGACCGGCTCATCATCGAACCAGTCTGAACCGGTCAAAATAGCAGGTTCGACCGGCCAAACTTTCAAGTGTTGTGGAACCAAATACCTTGGTTGAAGTTTTCAAATTTAAACACATACATTACATATTTTTAAACAGATTTTTAATTAATTTTTTTTAATAATGTAAATAATATATATTTATTTTATTAATCATATTTAATTTTAATATTTGTTACGTCATCTTGTTCAACCCCCGGTTCAATTTCGATTGAACCACTGAACCTTGAACCTATCATTTTTCGGGTTTGATGTTCGGTCCGCTTTTCATAGCATTGATTGAGAGAACTCACCCAAAAATGAGATCAATCCACTCATGAAGATGTGCAGATACATATTCACTCTCAAGCGCCATACGATGCTTATGAATGAAATCAACTGGATTTGCAGCCCATGGAGGCAGTCTGACAGAATCTATAGATCAGGAAATAAAGCTTGTAACAATTATGTAGCTTGAAGAAAATGTTTCAACAGAAAATCAACTACAGCTGCCTTTAAGTGCAAATGCGAACTTACCTATCTTTTCTCCAAGTTGAGTTGTACCAAAATCAATAGAGTTATTGTTAATGAGAATCTCTGGCAGATAAAAAAATTCTGGAACCTGAAATACAACGCAAACAGAGACTTTGACAACATACACTGGAAAATCAACCATTAGATAAACAAACAGCTCAATCCTGCTGGAAAAAATATACACACAGAATTGCAGGAAGTTATATCTAAGTAATACCAATTCTTTCACATCACTCATGTCTTCAAGAACACCATTCCATGTACCCCCAACATCGTAGAACATACGGTCAGCATGATCAAAGTTTCCGCCTTGTAGTTGAATAGAAAGAGTAGTGAAAGGTTCCACTCGAATAAGATAATATAATACCTGTAATAATGAAGCCTTCGCTTTGAAATAACAGTTTTATAGCAGCAGGATGGAAGGATGATTAAGGATCTGAGAGTAAAGTCACGCTTAAACTACATTGCATCACATGCTAAAAAAAACACAAAACAAAATTCAACATCACTACATCAACAACATCAAGCCTTTATCCCACTATGTGGGCTTCATGAATCCTTTTTCTCCATTGTGTCCCATTAAGAGTCAAATTCTCATTTTAATCTAATAAGGAAAAGTCATTTCTAATATTTTCTAATCAAGCCTTTTTAGGTTACCTCTACCTATCTTAACATAAGTCAAATTTAATACATCTACCTGTTTAAGCAAAAAAAAGAGAGTATCAAGCATCTGCTACATATAAAGCTCTAAAATAAAGTGACCATAGGGCTAATGTTCTAAATTAGGGGTGATTCTGAATCAAATAAGAGCCAAACTAACTTGCAATCTAAATTACCAAATAGGGCTCGCTGTCAACCTGATTCATCTCAATTTATATTGATTTTGAGCTAACTAATTTTCAAGTTGGTTCATATTGAACAAAGCCATTCTCTCTCTCACACACACTCTCTTGCTTTCTCCCTATCTTCCTCTCCATGTTGCCCTCACCCACTCCCTTGCCTTCCATTTCTCTCTCTCTCTCTCTCCCATCCTCATGCTCCCCTATCTGATTCCTCACACTTGCTCACTCCATCCCTCGCCTTCCCCTTGATGCAAAATCCTCCCCCTAGGTATCTTTTCAAGAGCTAGTGCATCAAATTCATCTGTTTTGGATTAATTCTTGCTTGATGCCTTATGTTTCATGTGCCCTTCGGTGAAGCCAAGGATTTGGAACCTGGGCCTTTGTGGTCCACGTGTTCCTTGTTAATGTTCAATCATTGCTTGATATGTTGCTGTCGGTTTCTCTCTATACTCAACTTTCTATTATAGTGGTAGCACAACAGATTCCAAAATTTTATTCTTTATTGAATCTCGAGTAAACATTGTAGCGGCACATAAAAAGATAAAAAAATTGCTGACTTTAAGTACAATTGTTGAATCAGAAACTTGTTTTTAGATAGATTTTACGGATTCTAAAAAACCACTAAACTTGGGCCTTATGAAGGTTATAAATAGGGCCCTTAAACAACTTAAAAATCAGCAAATGCACAAAAAATTATAATTTTCATCTAAAACTGGTGTATGTACTGGGTGCAAATCCTTCGTACAAGGTGCAAGTCAAGATGACAATTTCTAGAGAAGCTTCTTCTTGAATTGACGTGAGGCCTAGATGATGGGGACATCAGATCATCATGGACAATTTACCAGAGACGTGGCCGCCGATCTACGGCCACGATCGAGTCTTTATATTTTTGAGTCATCGATGTATTTTTATTTTCATGTATTTTGTTATTTGCTTATGTGTGTTTTATTATTTCCCGTAGTACCCCTCTTATGGGAGTTATCGTATGTAAGCCCAAAGGGCATTTGTGTCATTTTGTTTTGAGTCATTTGTATGAGGCTATTTAAAGGCCCCCTTTGTTCTATTTAAGGTTAATGGATGATTATTAATAATTTTTCCTGCACTTGTGCTTGAGAGCATTTGAGAGTTCTTGGAGAGCTTTGGAGAGATCCCTTGGAGAGGGAGATTGACGCATCACCCACCAACCTTGGATACGGCCGGGTTTGTGGATTTCTCTTTGTATTTTCGTTTCTTCCTCGTCACCTCCCCTCATTCGTCTTCATCGCTTTAAACGCTACCACCCAAATTCCTCTCCTCCTCCCCACAGTTAATTCCCCAAAATTATCTCCCACAACCGTCGACCACCCAACCTGATTCCCCTAACCCGTCGGCTCCAGCAATCCCACTGCCGGTTCAGCCCACTCCCTCTTCTCCCTTCAATTCCATTGCCTAATTGGGAACATTTTTTTTTTTTAATTCAAATTGTCTATTTGAAATTTAAAATCTTCCCTAAAATATCAAATCTTTTTTAGGAAAGTTCCTAAATTAAATCTATTTGAATTTTGAATTTGAATTGGATTTAATTAAAAAACTTTCCTCTTTACTAATCCCAATTAAGTAACCACAATTGAGTGCAATAATGGCTCCCCATAATTCCAGCTCTCTTCCTCTAATGCCACCGGCTACCTGGATTTGAATTGGGATTTATTTCCTAAGTACAGAATCCTATTTTAGGCAATTGATCCAAGCCACGTTAATTTCCCTCTAGCCGAATTTCCACCAGGCCTTTTCTGTTTGATTTATTCCAATAGGAAAGTCCTATTTTGGAAGCAAATCAAGCCTTTATTTCCCTCCCTCTCTCCACCGCCTCTCTTGCAGCAACTCTCCACTTCTCTATTTCAATTTCATTCCCGTAACTCCCCACCTGGCTGAATCTCCCAAATTCCCCAATGCCTGCAGTTATTTCTTAAATCAAATCGTTGATTTAGGAAATCAATTCCCTTCCTTCCCTTTTTCTCTCTCCAAGACCTCTCTTAACTCACGGCTAAATTCTTCATCTCAATTCCCTACCTACCACACTTGGAAAAATCTGAAATTCTACTCAGATTTCAATAGCAAAATCTGAAATTGTTTCAGTTTTGCTGGACAGAAAATTGGAAATTTTGAACTGAATTCTTCCTAAAGCCTACCCAGGATTTTGTGGTTCTCTTTGAGAAGAGCTTGGGCTATCAACCTGCTGTTGGCAAATCCGAGATTCCTCTCAGATTGTGGAGAAGAGATCCATTCACGGAAGAAATCATCTCATAACTGCTCTAG